AGCATCTGTGAAGGAAAAAACAGAGTTAACGTTTCAGGTCCGATGAGGAAGGGTCACCGGAACCGAAACGTTAACTCTGTTTTTTCCTTCACAGATGCTGCCAGACATGCTGAGCTTTTCCAGCAACTTTGTTTTTGTTCCTGATTTATAGCATCCGCAGTTCTTTTGGTTTTTAATAGAAACAGGCCATTTGGCCCAACTTGGTATTTTTATTCATTTGTGGGATTTGGGTTTCATTGGCTGTGCCAGCAGTCATTGCTCATCCTAGTTACCTCGGAGAGCCAACGCAGTCCTTATGGTGGAGGGACATCCACAGTGCTGTTAGGAAGGGACTTCCACATCTTTCAATCAGAAAGACAGTGAAGCAACAGTGACATATTTTCAAGTCAGGATGCTGCGTGGCTTGGAGGGGAATTTGTGGACTACCCTGACTTGAAACTACATTGCTGATCTGTCAGTACTGATGCTTATTGTCTGTGTGAGACTCCTCCAATGCTAGTTTGGGTCACCCTACCAGCATATCCTTCTATTCTTTTCTCCTTTGTGCACCAATCCAGCTTCCCTTTAAATACATCCATGCCACTTGCTTCAACCCCTCCATGTGCCGGTGTCTTCTATAATATTACCATTCCCCAGGTAAAGAAGTTTTTTTGCTTGAATTTCCTGTTGAGTATTTAGTAAGTATTATATATTTACCACCTCCAATTTTGCTGTTCCCTACAAATGCAAACTTGTCTACAGCTCTCCTTTTCAAGTACTCTATTTGATTAATCTTCAGCCTTTTCTTTTGCAGAGAAAACAGCCACAGTCTGTCAATCTTTGCAATCATTTTAGTCTCTCAGTTTCAGTAAATTTGTGAATCACTGTCATAATATGGAGACCAGAACTTTGCGTAGCAATCTAAGCATGGTCTAACCTCAGTTCTAAAAAGGTTTTTAAAAAAACATCTTTTGCTTCAATTCCATCCTTCTAGAAGCATATCCCCTATGCTTTATTTTAACCTCCATATTAACCTGCATCACTACTTCTGGTGATTTGGGTCACTGAGTTTCTACATCCTTCTGCCCTCGACCACAGAGTAAATGTTGGCTTACACTTCTCTCAATGTTTATCTTAAATAGAAATGTGCCATTGGACACTACAGAGATTGGAATGGCTTCTTCTCAGGGCACTGCGTACCTTGTCGCTGTCATGGACATTCAGAACAATGTGCAGACCGATCTGGAAGATGCATCGTAAGTATCCTGATATAGAATTTTTATGTACTGTGCAAAATACTACAAAGTATTCACAATACACAGATGTGACATTCGACCCAACAACTCCATTTCTCCTCTGCCCATCATTTTTAATCCATCCCAATCTCCATGTCTTCTATTCCCTTCTCCCTCCTGTATTCATCATCTCCCATGATATGTAATTATGCTGTTTATCACAAACATACCTTATGGTGATGAGTTCCACATTCTCACTCTCTGGGTAAACAAATTTCTCTTGATTCCCAGTTGAATTTCTTAGTGAATTATCTTACATTGATGGTCAGTAGTGCTGGCCTCACTCGCTAGTGGAAAAGATAAGAATATATGATTTGGAGCAGAAGTAGGTCATTTGGTCCCAAGACTACTCCGTCATTCAGTTACAACATGGCTGATCTGATTATGGCTTGACTATGGCTCACCATTCGTGGCATTGACTTGCAGTTCCAGAGGTTGCTGCCTCATATGGACCTTGGACACTTACACAGCCAGAAAGAAAATTTATGGGGAATGCTGGTACTGGATATGACTCCAACCAGCCTAGGTTTTTCCGCTATTCCCCACTGATTTCAGTTTTGCTAGGGCTTCTTAATGCCCACTCATTCAAATGCTGCCACGATATCAAAAGCAGTCACTCTCACCTGTCGTCTGAAATTCAACTCTTTTATCCATGTTTGAATCAAAGGCAGAAGTCACACGACACCAGGTTATAGTCCAGTGGGTTTATTTGAAAACATAAGCTTTTGGAGTGCTGCTCCATTGTCTGTACAACACCGGCACTTCCACATCATGTTTGAATCAAGGCTGTAATGAGATCAGGAGACAAGTGCCTTGGCTAAACCAAAACTGAGTGTCAGTGAGCAAGATATTTCTTTGCAAATGCCATTTGATCACACCACCATGCACCCGTTTCATTGCTTTTCTGATGATCGCGAATAGTTTGATAGGATGAGTTGGATTTTCTCTGCATTTTATTGCACAGCACATAACTGGGCAATTTGCCATATTGTCAGCTTGATTTTGGTGTTGTAACTGTATTGGAACATAGTGGTTCTGGAGCACAAGTCTTTGTATGTCAGGCTGTTGCTTCACTGGTCTGTGAGATGACTCTCCAAACTTTGGCACTACCCCAGTTGTTGGTGAGGAGGACTTTTCAGGATTGACTGGGATGTGTTTGCTATTATAGCTTCTAATCCCTTGGTGGATGCTAGTTGGTCCAAATCAGTTTTGTTTATTTGTCTAGGCTTTATAGCAGTTTGATAGCATTGCAAACCAGCCAATTCAGCTAAACCAATGGCAGATTATTAATCCAGTGACATTATCAACATGTCTCCAACTTCCCCACCACCATACATTAAACTCCATATACCAATTGATTAGTTTTGCAGATTTCTTGTGTCTTCCTCACAAGTTGCTTTCCTACTTATTTTTGTGCGAACTGCAATTATTTTTTGTTTACTCATTTTGTGTGATGTGGACATCTCTGACTGGGCCAGCATTTATTGTCCATCCCTAGTTGCCCCCTTGAGAAGTGGTGGTGAGCTGCCTTCTTAAACCGCTGCAGTCCACCTTCTGTGGGTTGACCCATAATGCCATTAGGGAGGAAATTCCAGGATTTTGACCTAGCAACACTGAAGGAATGGCGATACATTTCCAAGTCAGGACGGTGAATGGTTTAGAAGGGAACTCGCAGGTGGTGGTATTCCTATGTATCAGCTGCCCTTGTCCTTGTAGATGGAAGTGGTCATGGATCTGGAGGGTGCTGTCCAAGGAGCTTTGGTGAATTTCTGCAGTACATCTTGTAAATGGTACACACTGCTGTTACTGAGCGTTAGTGATGGAGTGAGTAGATTTAGTACCAATCAAGTGGGCTGCTTTGTCCTGGATTCATAGAATTCCTACAGTGTGGGAGTTGGCCATTTGGTCCATCAAGTCCACACTGACCCTCTGAAGAACATTCCATCTCATCCCTGTAAACCTGCATTCCCATAGCAAACCTGCACCTCCCTGAACACTATGGGCAATTTAGCATGGCCAATCCATCTAACCTGCATATCTTTGGACTGTGGGAGGAAACCGGAACACCTGGAGGGAACCCACACAGATACAGGAAGAATGTGCAAACTCCACACAGAGGGTCACCCAAGGCTGGAATCAAGGCAATAGAAATTTGATCTAAATCTGACTGTTTTCGCAGAACAAAACCTGACATGATTGCATTTAACCATAAAATATTTAAACCAAAATACACATTCAATCCTATTCATCAGGATTTTTTGTTCAATGATGGATTGTCATGAATTATCCTTATCATTAATACTACCGAAACCAACTGTCAACCTCCAAGATTAGGACTGGAACAGATTTTAAAGGAACAATTCCACAGCATGTGTTTCTGACAGGAAGTCACAGAGACTCTGTGGGTCCCAATAACAGCACATTGATGTTCTAACTCAATCTTTTACACCTCATTGCAGCAAGTTACTTTCCACCATATATCCGGAGAATACAGGCTGGATCGCAGGATACAGATAGACCATTTAGGACTGAGATGTGTAAAAATTTCTTCATTCAAAGGGAATTGAATCTGTGGAATTCTCTACCATTGGATCATGCCGCACAGAAACAGGCCCTTCGGTCCAACTCATCCCTGCTGTCCAAACTTCCTAATCTGCAGTAGTCCCATTTGCCTGCATTTAGGCCATAGCACTCTAAACCTTTCCTATTCATGTACCTGTCCAAATGTCTTTGAAATGTTGTAATTGTACTTGCCCCTACCACTTCATATGGCAGCTCAGTCTATACACTCTGCGTGAAAAATTGCCCCTCAGGTCCCTTTTAAATCTTTCCCCTCTCATCTTAAACCAATGCCCTCTAATTTTAGACTCTACTACCCTTTGGGTATTCACCATACCCAGCCTATCCAGACTCTTCCTATAACTCAAACCCTCCAGTCTCATCAACATCCTTGTAAGTCATTTTTGCACCCTTTCCAGTTTAATAACATCCTTCTTATAGCAGGATGACCATAATTGTACATAGTACTCCAAATGTGGCCTTACCAATGTCTTATATATCTGTAACATGACGACCCAACTCCTGTACTCAGTACTCTGGCCAATGAAGGCAAGCAGGACAAGCGCCTTCTTCACCACCCTGTCTCCCTGTGACGCCACTTTCAAGGAACTATGTACCTGCACCCCTAGGTCTCTCTGTTCGACTGTACTCCTCAGGACCATACCATTAATTATGTAAGTACTCCCTGGTTTGTCTTACCAAAATGCAACACATTGCACTTATCTAAATTAAACGCCATCTGCCATTCCTCAGCCCAGTTGATCAAGATCCCATTGTACTCTTAGATAATATTCTTCACTGTCCACTATACCACCAATTTGGTGTCATCTGCAAACTCACTAACTATGCCTCCTGTATTCTCATCCAAATCATTTATATAAATGATGAACAACGGTGGAACCAGCACTGATCCTTGTAGCACACCATTGGTCACAAGCCTCCAGTCTGAGCAACAACCCTCTACCACCACCCTTAGTCTCCTACCGTCAAGCCAATTTTGTTTCCAGTTGGCTAGCTCTCCTTGGATCCCATGTGATCTAGCCTTACTAACCAGTCTACTATGCGGAACCTTGTCAAAAGCCTTGCTAAAGTTCATGTAGACAATGTCCACCACCTTCATCTATCTTCTTGGTCACTTTTTCAAACATCCCAATCAAATTTGTGAGATGCAATTTCCTACGAACAAAACCATGCTGAGTATTACTAATCAGTCCTTGCCGTTCCAAATGCATGGAAATCCTGTCTCTCAGCATCCCCTCCAACAACTTAGCTAATGTTAATTAACTGATGTCAGGCTTATCAGTCTCTCATTCCCTGGCTTTTCCTTGCAACTTTTCTTAGTTAATAGCACAACATTAGCCACCCTCCAGTCTTCTGGCGCCTCACCCATGGCTTTCAATGATACAATTATTTCTGCTAAGTGCCCTGCAATTTCTTTCCTAGGTTTCCACAATGGCCTAGGATACACTTGATCAGGAACCAGGGATTTATTTACCTTTAGGCATTTTAAAACCTCCAGTACCTCCTGTTTTGTTATGTGGACTCTTTTCAAGACATCACTATTTATTTCCCTGAGTTCCCTAGCTTCCATGTCTTTCTCAACAGTAAATACTGACATGAAATATTCGTTTAGGATCTCACCTGTCTCCTGTGGTTCTACACATAGATGGCCTCATTGGTCTTTTGATTCTCTCCCTAGTTACTCTTTTGCTCTTAATATACTTCAAGAATGTCTTTGGATTCTCCTTAACCTTATCTGCAAAAGCTATCTCATGTCCCCTTTTGGCCGTCCTTTTTTCCCTCTTAAGAATAATCCTTCACCCCATTATACTCCTCAAGGGATTCACTTGATCCCAGCTGACATGTGCCTCCTTTTTCTTGACCAGAGCCTCAATACCTTTAGTCATCCAGTGTTCTCTACTCCTGCTAACCTTCCCCTTCACACTAACAGGAATATGCTGTCCCTGAATTCTTGAGGCTTTTGAAAGCCTCCCACTTGCCAGGCTTCCCTTTGCTTTCAGCTTCCTTCAATCAACTTTTGAAAGTTCTAGTTTAATACTATCAAAATTGGCCTTGCCCCAATTTAGAACTTTAACTTGTGGACCAGGACTATTTTTTTCCATAATTGTGTTAAAACTAATAGAATTATGGTCATTGGTCCTAAAGTGCTCCACCACTAATACCTCAGTCACTTGTCCTGCCTTATTTCCCAAGAGGAGGTCGAGTTTTGCCCCTTCTCTGGTAAGTTCATCTACATATTGATTGAGAAAGATTTCTTGAACACACTTAACAAATTCCTCCCCAATCAAGCCCTTAACAGTTTGGCAGTCCCAGTCTATGTTTGGAAAGTTAAAATCCCCTACCATTACAATCCTATTATTCTAACAGTTATCTGCTATCTCCCGACATATTTGCTCCTCAATTTTCTGCTGACTATTGACGGTGCCTATAATACAATCCCATCAAAGTGATCACCCCTTTCTTATTTCTCAGTTCTACCTTCACAGGACGATCCTCAGGAATATCATCTCTCAGTACTGCCATGATGTTTTCCCTAATCAAAATTGTCATTCCCCTCCTTTCTTTCCTCGCCTTCTATCTTTCCTGTAGCATCGCTACCCCAGAACATTGAGCTGACAGTCCTGTCCCTCCCTCAGACATGTTTCCATAATAGTGATGATATCCCAATCCCACGTTCCCATTCGTGCCCTGACTTCATCCACCTTTAACTATCAGGCCACTTGCATTGAAATAAACACATTTTAATTCATCAGTCATTCCTCATTCTCTGCCATGCTGTTGCCTGCCTTGTCTATCTAACTTGCTGTCTTTAAATTCTATACCAGTATCAGCCTTATGTCTCGTCTCACTACTATGTAGGATCTCACCCCCTGCCCCCGCCCCCCCCCCCCCCCCTACCCCCCCCCCCCACCAGACTAGTTTCAACCCTCCCAATTACCTCTAGCAAATGGTCCCACTAGGATATTGGTCTTCGTCAAGTTCAGGTGCAACCTATCCCACGTGTACAGGTCACATCTACCAAAAAGATGCCAATGATCCAAAAATCTGAATTCCTGCACCCTGCACCTGCTCCTCAGATGAAACAATTCATCTGTCCTATTCCTCGTCTCACTAGCGTATGGCACTGGTAGTAATCCAGAGATTGAATTGTGGACCGGGTTTAGCCGAATAGCCTACTCTTGTTTCTAGTTTTTATCCTTCTATGTTTCTAAGCACTGCTCTTATATTAAAAACAAAACAATAATTCTTGTTTGAGCCCTTGGGTTCAAACCTTTGGCTGTTCAGTGAAACTGGGAGACAGTCTCATGTCAAATGGTGAGGCTGCACGTGATCCCAGTAGTAAGCTATAGCAATACAAGACGGGAGAGTAAAGGGAAAAAAAATGGGTGTGGTCCTCAGGCAAATGAGGGTCAGGAGATCAGAATTCATGGAGCGGGAAGAAGAGTTTTTATGAATCAGAAGTACACCACCCACCATGTTGAATCAGGATAAACAATGAGTCTTCTATCTAGAGTCTGACAGCTGTTTGATGTCCCTCTACTATGGGAAGGATTGGGGCAATTTGTACAAGTCAGCAGCCAGAACAGCCACAATGTAGTCTGGTAGTCTCTTTCTCTCTTATTATTCTTCAAAACACATCAAATTGAAATGATAAATAAAAGAAAGTATTTAATTTTGAGTGATTGTGATTTGTTTTACAGATTCTTTATAGTTTATGCAGTCTCTCCAATGCACTCAGTCTTAACTATTTTGCTGTAATCAGGCAGTAGAATAGTGAAGTAAACTTGTCTGGAACAGTAACTCCGTGTAATTCACTGGTGGATTAAGATTTATTAGCCAAGATTGTGTTAGGATTGGCTGAGGTTAAGGCAAGATATGCACAGAAAGTACAGAAACTGTAAAAGTCTCTTGCAATGCCCTGAAGCCTATTAACTGATTATGTGCCACTTAATACATTCAGTTAAACGTTAGGAGATTTCCCCAGAATATTACTCAGTGTGTGAAGAACATGTTAAAGTAGGACTTCAGTACAAAAAATAATTAATATCATAAAGAGTTTATTGTTGATTTACAGCTTTTACTCTGTGCAGTGTGATGTCTCAAGGCCAATTGACTGAATTGCAAATTTTAGATTCAACTGTAAACACTGCACATCTTGCCACTTTAATCATTAGTTAAATTTGTTTAAAAGTCAAGTGTGACAACCCTCAGGAACAAAGTAAATGGTTGCCATGAATTAAGATATCATTTTTTAAAATTGTAATTAGTGTATCATTAGGACACAGTTATAAAGCCTGATTTTAATTTTTAATCCAGCTGTTTCCGCTGCACTTCAGCCTATCAATTAAAGCATGTGTATTCTGCCTGAGTTTAGGGATTAGGCCACAGATGGGTGGGGTCATGTACTATCTGAAATCTTACAAGGTGGCGTATTGGTGGTGTAGCTGGATTACTCAGATCTTATTCCAATTATATGTTTTATTTGGCATTCTGTTTGTAGAATTGAAATTGAAACAAACATACATTTTTAGTGTTGTTTTATATGCTGTTCTGTTTCACAAATTGGAATCTCAATTGCTAACGTGGAAACTTAGAGTGCAGAAGAAGGCCAAGGTACCAATATTGGCCCTTTGAGTTAGCTAATTAGTCAAACTCTCCGTACCAGTTGAGGAGTAGGTTGTAGTTTATAAAGATTTGGCATAACCTTTTTTTTAACTCTATGCCTTTATACCAAAATCATGAGGTAGTTGGACAGAGTAAAGAGTGAGAAACTATACCTGAGAACCAAAGGACATCTATTCAGGTCACTGGCAAAAGACCCAGAGGAGGATAACTAATATTCTGCAATGAGTGCAGTGCACTTCTGGAGGGTGCAGTGGAAGCAGATCCAATCATGGCTTCCAAAAGAGATTTGGATAATTATCTAAAGAAAATAAATTGTAGGGCTACAGGGAAGAAACAGGGGAGTGGGACTAGCTAAATTTTCTTTAATAATTCATTCACAAGATGTGGATGTTTCTGGTTAGGCGGCCAATATTTATTGCCCAATCCTAATTGCCCTCTGAGACGATGATGGTGAGCTGACTTCTTAAATTCCCACTGTCCATGAAGTGAACCAACATGAACACAATGGCTGAATGGACTACTTCTGTGCTGTAACCATTCAATGAATCAATTGATAAAGTCACTAATTCCATCTGCTTTTAATAGCCATATCGCCTTGTTCTGTCATCTTCAATGATTTATGGATACACACCTCCAGGTCCCTCTAGTCCTGCACACACTTTAGAAATGTGGCATGTGGATTATATTATCTCAGCTTGTTCCTCTTCAAAAACGTGCCATTTCATCCATCTGTGCATTTAAGTTGCATGACATGTGTCTGTTCATTTTTTTAGTTCATCTGCCTTGTCAATGTCTGTTAATTTCTCCTCACTTCAGTTTTCAATTTGAACAGTAAACTATGCAGTGAGCTGTTTGACAAATATATATAAATTATACACACACAAACGTATATATATATATAAATAAATAATCCATTGCTCTTTTCTGTACCAGGATTGTAGACATAACACAGAAGGAGATCACTGTGAACGATGCAAATCAGGTTTCTTTGGAAATGCTGCCCAAGGTACCTGCAGTTCCTGTCCTTGTCCATACACACAACCCTCCAACAAGTAAGGTTCACAAGTTTGAAATACTGTGCTTAAACTAATCAGTCAATATTCTGTTATTCACACCTCAGTTGGTTTAGTAATAGTCTTCAATTGCTTTTGTTTACAGCTTTGCCACACAATGTGGCGAGATTAATGGTGCCTTTCAGTGCATGTGTAAACCGGGCTACACAGGATCAAGATGTGAGAGGTTAGTTCTTTTAAAAATTTATTAATGGAATATAGGCATCACTGGCTATTGATTCAGCATTGATTAGCTGCTCCTATTTACTATCAAGAAGGTGATGGTGATCTGTTGCCTTGACCTGCTGCAGTTCTTGCTATGTAGGCACATTAGGGTGGCAGTTTTGGGATTTTGACCTTAATAGTGAAGGAACAGCAATTATAGTTCCCAGTCAGTATGATGGAAACTTTCAGGTGGCAGTGGTGTTCCTATGCATCTATCTGGTGTTAGGCTCACGTGATAAATTAGACAGCATGGAATCAGGCCTGTATGTGATCTTGAGTTCACCACTTAAGGACCTCAGTTGGTGATGGGATGAAGACCTTGTCCATGGGTTGTCCAACTCTGGGGGAGGCAGGAAAGTGGCTGAATTCAGGTGTACCACCAAAACATAATGAAATGCGATATGGTTATACCCTAACCCTAATCCAAATCTAACCCTTCCCAGTTCCAAGCTCACTGAGCAGAGGATACCACCGAGTGTATGCAGCCTATTATGGGGCTGTGTTTTTCCAGATGGGTGGTGATTCTGACATCAGCTCACTTCCAAATCAGGAAGCTGGAAGTAGTCTTGTCACAATGTCAGTTGAATTCACGCTGAGGTATTTAAAGAGTGTGTTTGAATCCTGGAACCAGAAGTTAGCATGGAGGGAGCCCGCACTGTGGGAGTGTTAGGCACTGCTGAGGCAAGTAGGATATGAAGGTGCCTTAAGATGGAGAAGCCTTTTGAGAATGCTCTGAAATTGTTCTCCCCTCCACAAGATGGCCAATAGCTGCAACATTGACCTGCTATCCTTCCATGTTCCTGGAGGGTGGGCTTTAAAGGAGGTCTCAATGCATTCTTAATTCCTCTTCCACTGCACACACACACACACATTGCACCTGTTCATGTCTCTAACTCTGGGACAAAGAAAACAAAGCCCAGAATGATGTGGGTACGTAATGCTAAACCTAGGCATTTTGAAAAATCAAGAAAATCTTTTTCGGAACATCAAAATGAGGGCTAAATACTAAGGGACGTTGGAAATCTGAAATAATACTCAACAGTGAAGGCTGGATCTGCAAAGAGAAAGTCAGAGTGAGTCAAGTTAAACAGGACTTTCCCAGAGAAAACCAACAGGATCACCTGCCATACTGGTTTAACACCCAGCTCAATTTAACACCAAATTGAAATTAATATTATAAAGGGAGTGAAACCAGTCTCATGGGCCTCCTGCATAGAGAGTTAGGCTAAAAGTAATCACAAAATTTCAGGTCAATGACCTCTCATTGACATTCATTAAAAACCTGAAATGCTAACTCTGCTTATCTCTAAAATAAATGCAAAGTACTGTGGATGGTGGGGATCTGATAAAACAAAGTGCTGGAGAAATCCAACAGTTCCAGCAGCATCTGTGAAAAGAGAAATGAAGGTGAAGTTTGGAGTCCAATCTAGCTAAGAGAAAGAGTTTGGAAGAAAAGTCAACACTGGACTCGAAATGTTCACTATTTCTTTCTTCATAGATGCTGCCTGACCTGCTGAGTGCTTTCCCTTTTTATATCTTCTTATTGTAGAAACACATTGTATTCAAGTTTATTTTAATTAAATCTGCAGGTGTGCTCCGGGTTACTTTGGAAACCCTCTGGAGATAGGAAGTGAATGTAGACCTTGTCAGTGTGGACATTCAGGTTCTACAAGTTGTGACCCCTTGACCGGCCAATGCAGCAACTGTCAAGGTAACAGAATGAGACTACACAGCAGAGAAAATCTCAATCTAAACTAAGGGCAAGCAGTGGTATCGTGATAATGCCACTGAGCTAACAATTCAGAATCCTAGGCTAAAGTTCTGCAGCTGTAGGTTCAAATCCCACAATGTCAAATGTGAAATCAGAATTCAGTAAAACTTATGGTTTGCATGTCAATTGTTACAAAAATCAGTCTAGCTCACAGATGCCCTTCAGGGATGGTAGTCTGCCATATGTTCTGGTCCATGTGTGACTCCAGACCCATCTGATTGCAGCTTTAAATCCTTCCTGCCTACTCCTGATAACCTTTCATCCTTGCTTAAATAGAATCTATGCACCTCTGCCTTAAAATTATTTTGCTTTGTCAAGAAGAATTTTATATTTTCAAGAAGACAGTGCTAAAGGCTTTCTACCTTCTGAGAGAGAAAAACTTCACCTCATCTCCATTTTAAATGGGTCACCCCTGAATTTTAAACACTGACCCCCAGTTCAAATTCTCCCATAAGATGAAACATTTCTGGACATAGAGTCATAGACATATACAGCATGGAAAAAGACCTTTGGCCAGCCAAGTCTGCACTGGTCAAAAACAACCACTTAACTATTCTAATCCAATTAGCATTTGGCCCAAAGCCTTGTATGCCTTGGCATTGCAAAGTTGTTAAATATGAGAAGGGTATCTGCCTCCATACCCTTACAGGGAGTGAATTCCAGACTCCCACCACCCTCTGGGTGAAAAAAAATCTTTCCTCACATCCCCTCTAAACCTCCTGCCTCTAACTTTAAATCTCGAGCCCCTAAATCCTTGCTTTCTCCACAGAGGGAAAATGTTTGTTCCTGTCTGGCCTGTCTATGATCCTCAGGATTTTATACATCTTAATCATGTCATCCTCAGTCTCATCTGCTCCAAGGAAAACAATGCCAGTCTGTCCATTTTCTCTTCATAACTGAAACTCTCCAGTCCAGGCAACGTCCTGGTAAATCTCCTCTGCACCCTCTCCAATGCTATCACATCCCTGCTATAATGTGGATTCCACAACCGATTTTTGTACTCTAGCTGTGGCCCAGCCAGTATTTTTATAAAGTTCCAGCATAACCTCCCTGCTCTTAGACTCTATACCTATTGGCTAATAAAAGTGAGTATCCCATATGCCACCTTAACCTCATCTATCTTGTCAAGTCACCTCAGGGTCTTATATATTTCAATTACCCTTCTAAATTTCAATGAATTCAAGGCCTAACCTGTTCAATCTTTAGATATATGACAACCATTCCAAGTAAGTCTACTAAACTTTCTCTGATTTACCTCTGATTTAGATCCCGCCTTAGGAAACATAGAAAATAGGAACAGGAGTAGGCCATTCAACCCCTCGAGCCTGCTCCACCATTCAATATAATCATGGCTGATCATTGAGCTCAATACCATAATCCCGCCCTCTCCCAATATCCCTTGATCCCTTTAGCCGCCAGAGCTATGTCTGCCTCCATCTTGAAAACACATAAAGTATTGGCCGCAACCACTTTCTGTGATATCAAATTCCATAGGTTCACCACTCTCGGGTAAAGACATTTCTCCTCATCTCAGTCCTAAAAGATTTACCCCTTATTCTTGAATTATGACTCCTGGTTCTGAACTCCCCCCACCCCACCCCCACTGTTGAGAACATCCTTCATGCATCTAAACTATCTAGTCCTGTTAGAATTTTGTAGAGTTCTACGAGGATTCCCTGTCATTCTCCTAAACTCCAATGAATGTAATCCTAACCAATCTCTCTTCATATGGAAGTCCTGCCATCCTAGGAATCAATATGGTAAACTTTTGCTGCACTCCCTTCATAGCAAGAACATCCTTCCTCAGATAAGGAGACCAAAACTGCACACAGTATTCCAGGTGAGGGCATACCAAGGCCCTGTATAATTGCAGCAAGACATCCTTGTCCCGGTACTCGAATCCCATCTCACTACAAAGGTCAACGTACAGGTTACCTTCTTTACTGCCTGCTGCACCTGCACACTTACTTTCAGAGATTAGTGCACAAGAACACCCAGATCTTGTTGAACTTTCCCCTCTCTCAATTCAAAACCATTCAAATAAAAATATGATTTTCTATTTTTGCTGCCAAAGTGGATAACCTCATATTTATTCGCATTATGCTGCACCTGCCACGCATTTACTCACTCACTCAGCCTGTTCAAATCACACTACAACATCCCTGTATCCTCCTCACAGCTCCCTCTTCTACCCAGCTTCTGTATTATCTGCAAATTTTGAGATATTACGTTTAGTTCCCTCATCTAAATCATTGACATATATTGTGGATAGCTGAGGTTCCTGCAGTAGACCAATAGTCACTGCCTGCCATTCAGAAAAAGACCCATTTATTTCTACTCTTTGTTTTTTGTCTGCTAACCAACTTTTCTACCCATGTCAATTCACTACCCCTAATCCCATGTACTTTAATTTTACACATTAATGTCTTAAGTGGGGACTTTGTCAAAAACCTTCTGAAAGTCCAAATTAACCACATCCACTGGCTCCCCCAATCAACTGTACTAGTTACATGTTCAAAGAATTCCAGTAGATTTGTCAAGAATGATTTTTCATTTGTAAATCCATGCTGACTGTGTCTGATTCCATCACTATTTTCTAAGTGCTGTATTAAAAAAAACCTTGATAATGGACTCTAGCATCTTCCCCACTGCTGACAGCAGACTCACTGATCTATAATTCCCTGTTTTCTTTCTACCTCCCTTTTTAAATAGTGGGACTACATTCACTACACTCCAATCTGTAGAGAATGTTCCAGTTTCTAAAGATTCTTGGAAGATGACTGCCAATGTATCCATTATTTCTAGGGCCACTTCCTTAAGTACTTTGGGATGTAGATTATCAAACCCTGGGGATTTTCCAACCTCCAATCTCATCAATTTGTCCAATACTCCCTCTCACTAAACTCTGTGTCCCCATTACTTCTGGTACATTATTTGTGTCCTCCTTTGTGAAGACAGAAGTGAAGTGTTAATTTAATTCTTCAGCTATTTCTTTGTTCCCTATTATAAATTTCCCCATTTCTGACTGTAAGGGACCTACACTAGTTTTCACCAATCTGTTTCCTCTCACATACTTGTAGAAACTTTTACAGTCAGTTCTTATGTTCCCATCAAGCTTTCAGTCATACTATATTTTCTCCTTCTTAATCAACCCCTTGGTCTTCCTTTGCTGACTTCTAAACTGCTTCTAATCCTCAGGTCTATTGTATTTTTCTTGCCAATTTGTATGCCTCTTTTTTGCTTTTATTACTATCTCTAACTTCTCTTGAAGCTATGGTTTGACCACTATTCTCTGTTAAGAGACCAATACTCTTTGCTATCTGCTGTTTGTTCTTTTATTGGGTTTGATTCTAATTTCTCTGTCTATTTCCTGTCTAAACAACCAACAAAGGGAAAGAAACCACAAAGATATATTTGAAATCACTGATTATTTTCACTGTCAGTAAGGATGCTGATCAAATTAGTTTTTCATCTTGATTTGCAATATGACTTGCTGCTGTCAGTTCTTCCCTTGCAGACCAGATTAAAAATCATAATACTTTTTTAAAATGTTTGTGGTGTTGGATCTTGCTAGAAATTTACAGCTTGTCAACAACTCATCGTTATGAATATGTAAATTAATAGTAAATTGAGTGGATTAACATAAAGTTACCATAGTCCCAGAGGACCATAGGATTGTTCTCTCATTAGAGAAAGATGACTGATGGTGAGATTAACCTGAGGATCACCACACCTCAGGCGAGGGGCAAGGAGAAGGTAGGACCTTTAAAGTAAATTAAGAGATATTCATCTTCAGCGCTTGCTGCAATTGGCTATGACCATAAGACCATAAGAAATAGGAGCAGGAGTAAGCCATTCAGCTCCCCAAGCCTGCTCAGTTATTCAATAGAATCATGGCTGATCCAACATTCCTCACGTCCACTTTCCTGCACACCCAGCATCTTACCTTTAGCCTGTTCTTCATTTGACCATATGTACAATTGAAGCTTTGAAATTCCATTGTTGGTTAATTAATTTATTTGAGCTCTTCTTTTACATAGATTGCACAAATGAAGAACCCAAGGATACGAGTTCTGATGAGAAGTGTGACAGTAAGTGAAAGATTCGACAGATCTGTTCTGTGGTGATATTATTTCATGGAAAAGAAAAATGCTTCCAGAATTGCAACCATGCTGTGATAATAACAATAAAAATGTATATCTTTTACCTATGCCAAGTTATGATCTGGAATACTGCACCTGAAAGAGTGGTAGATGCAAATAGAAATCTGCAGTACAGGGAGTTGGGATTCATTGGACTGTTCTTCCAAAGAACCAACATTGATAAGATGGGCTGAATGGTCTCCTTACATGCTGTATCATTCAATCATTCAATGAATGTTGTAGCAAAGGGTAAGAAAATGGATGAGCAGCTTTGGTTAAGAGGACAAACAAGAGAAACGTGCTCTCATCTCAAGAACAAAGAAGCTTCAGAGTAAGAGATAGTAGGAACTGCAGATGCTGGAGAATCCGAGACAACAAGGTGCAGGGCTGGATGAACACAGCAGGCCAAGCAGCATCATAGGAGCAGAGAGGCTGACGTTTCGGGCCTAGACCCTTCATCAGAAAAGGGGGAGGGGAAGGGGGTTTTGAAATAAATAGGGAGAGAGTGGGAGGCGGATAGAAGAGGGATAGAGGAGAGGATAGGTGGAGAGGAAACAAACAGGTCGAAGAGGCGTGGATGGAGCCAGTAAAGGTGAGTGTAGGTAGGGAGTTAGGAAGGGGATAGGTCAGTCCAGGGAGGACGGACAGGTCAAGGGGGCGGGATGAGGTTGGTCGGTAGGAGATGGAGGTGCGGCTTGAGGTGGGAGGAGGGGATAGGTGGGAGGAAGAACAGGTTAGGGAGGCAGGGACGAACTGGACTGGTTTTGGGATGCGGTAGGGGGAGGGGAGAAAGCTTCAGAGTAAATCTAATTTGAGTGTTCAAAACTATAGAGGATTGTAGTCAGGTTAGGAGGTAGTGAGTATGATCATCAAAGAAAGAAAAAGATTGTGAGATTAATGTTCCAAATGGAATGTGCAGAATCTGGTTGAAGCAGAATCTTGTTTTCAAAAGGGTAGTGGATAAATAGAAGCCCTTCCTGTAATGACCCTCTGGTGAGGTAACAGCCTGGTGGTATTATTGGTGGACTATTAATTCAGAAACTCAGCTAATGTTCTGGGGACCTGAGCTCAAATCCCACCGTGGCAGACGGTGAAATTTGAATTCAATGAAAAACCTGAGATTAAATGTCTAATGATAATCGTGAATCCACTATCGATTGTTGGAAAAACCCACTTGGTTCACTAATGTCCCAATCTGTCATCCTTACCTGATCTGGCTCACATGTGATTCAAGACCCACAACAATGCAGTTGATTCTTAACTGCCCACTGGGCAATTAGGGATGGTCAATAAATGCTGGCCTAGCCAGAGATGCCCATATCCCCTGAATAAATAAAAAAAAGCGGCCCTCCCGTGAGCACTGACCCTCTGACTGTGTGACCCTCCCTTTGTACTCTACAGCAACTGTTAGCTTATGCTTTTCACATTTGAAAACAATTTCAACTTTACATGGAAAGTGACTGGAGTGAGTTAATTCTTAAAGCTAGCATTGACATAATGGACTGAATGGGCTTCCCTTGTCCTGCAGTGTATCTGCATGGTTTGTCAAGCTTCTGTTTTCATAAATCACATGCAATTCAATTTATTTCCTGCCCACTTCCAAGGTTCATTGGTGGGCAACACCTTTTAAAATGAACAAATTCATATCAGTATTAAAATAAGGTGCAGAAGGTGCCACTCACATGTATCAATTCAACACCAGCCTGCTAATATTGTCAGAATGGATTTTTCAGGTTAAGGTAGCTTTGGTAGGTAAACATGCTGTGATGGGGGATAGGGGCAGTGGGTATTGTGCTTGCATTAAAAGCACACTTCCTTGCATTTATCCTCTTTGGTATTTTAAAAGTTCTTGTTTTGTGTTCAGCTTCTCTGTTAATGAATCTACAGCCAGTAGCACAGAATCGATGATAATTCATTTGTTTATTCTTCAGCCTGTGACAGTTGCGTGGAAACTCTGTTGCTTGACTTGAACAAAATGGATTCCGATCTTCAAAAGATCAAATTTCAGCTTCAGAATGCAAACACAAGCACTGCTGCACAGCATCGTATGAACAATTTAGACAAGGCCATAAAAAACACTGAGGTAAATCCAAAACAAGGCTTGCATACATTATCTTTTCCAAAGTCTAATTCTATCATTTCCATGCTGTCCCCAAAACCTTACAGACTGGCCCCAAGTAAAGTTTGACTTTACTTGCTAAGGCCAGTATGTTTTTTAAACAAAGTTGTAGAAATAATATACCAGCGTAAGATTTAACTCTTAAATTTAGTGAAATAAGATGCTGAAGGAGAGCATGAGCATCAGACCATAAGATATAGGAACAGGAGCAGGCTGTTTGGCCCCTTGAGCCTGTTCCATCATTCAATAGTATTATGATTGATCTGACATTGGTTTTAAGTGTGTAGACTTATAGTGTGCTTATGTACGAAGGCTTGGAGATGTGTGTCTGCTTGTAAGTACAAGGTATGAAAGTAAATTGGACGTCAGTTAAACTCAAAAGTTCATGTTTTAAGTTAGAAAATACAGTTAATTTATTACAGGTGTATCAATTTATTTTAACAGAATATTTCTTGCTAGCTTGAAAATTAATTATGCATTGTTTAAGCAGACTGAGTAAAAGAAAAGTCAGAGTAATAGGCCTGAACACAAAAGTGGTCATCAAGATGGCTTGTGCAAACGGGTCTAATTAAATCAATTACTGGCAACAAACTTTCCTACACCAGAATACATCTGCATGCATGTGATCGATGTCATATACAATTGCACAGATACATACTTAAATGGGAGCATTCCCAGTTCAGGGAAAGTACATAATCATGATTTAATTGGAGCCAATTTGGCTGCAAATTTGATGTTCATTCTGGGAGGGTAAGGTGCACTGTATGTGAACTACATCCACTGTGCCATGTGGCACTGATGACCCAATGACAGGAAATGAGGAAGGCAGCTTTGAAACAGTCAAAACAAGCAGTAATATTTCTCTCCAAAGAAAGCAGCCCAAGGCTGATGGGTTGTAGTTACATTGCCAACACTGTTCTTCCTATCCCTTGAGTCATAGAGATCTACAGCACAGAAAAGGCCTTCTTACCATCCATAAACTGGGGACAAATTCTCTCCTTGGAGACTTTGAGTGTAGTTCCAAATAGCACTAACTGCAGTGTGATTATATGGGCCATACCATTGTTGTTCCCAGCAGCTTTCGTGTTGTCACTTTGCAGTGACAGTTCACTGTGAACCTTTGTCTCTGTGGTTCGACAGACCCTACATCACCCAGAAGAGTGACATTGATAATAAATGCAGCCAAAAATAACACATTTAGGTTACAAATTAAATGCTATAAATTGTTTCCTATTCTAGAATCAACTAAAGGTGTATCAGGCCACTGTGGAACGGCAGGTAAAAAAGACTGATGATTTGGAAAATGACAACATGAATTTCATTCAAGATGTCCATGCACTTGAGGAAAAGGCAAGTATTATTTGTAACAATTTGAAACAGTTAACAAATGATAAAGCTTCTGAGATGCTACAGAGGGACTTACCAGATTGATACCATAGATGAGGGCAATCAATTACCTGGAGATATTAGAGGAGCTGGGATTATTCTCCTTAGAACAGACAAGCTTAAAAGGAGATTAAATGAGAGTGCTCAAAATGATGCACAGTATTGATAAAATCAGCAAATGGTTTCCAGTGGCAAGAGGGTTCATAACCAGGAGACACAGATTTCAGATAATTGTCAAAAAAAACCAGAGTGGAACTTTGTTTGCACACATGGGTATAATTGGAAAGCTCGATCTGAGAGTGAAGCAGAAGAACAGTAACTTTCAAAAGGGAACCAGATAAGAACTTGTAAAAGAAAATTTGCAGGACTGTAGGATAACGGTAGGAAACTGAAACATACCCAAGTATTCTTTTCATAGAGCTGACACAGGCAAAATGGGCCAAATGGCCACTTCCTGTACTGTGTCATTCTATGAGAAGTTATCACTTGAATAGTCTGTGTAAACTTCAGATGTACTGAAATCTGAAAATGTTTTACTTTAAGGCGGAAAAGAATTCGCGAACTACTCAACTGTTGCTCACTTCAATCAATGTGACTTATCAGCGTGCACAAGACATGACGACGAATATAGGAGACGTGTTGTTGAAGATCTTGGGTGAGCTGGTTTTTGCAGTTAATGCAATAGCTCGGTGTTGCTGATATTGTAAAATGGCCTTTGAACAGAAAAACTTCGTTTCTAAAGTATATTTTACAACCTTAAAACATGGCAAAGTACTTTCATGTGATGTGGGTGTTATTGACAAAGGTCAACATTTGTAGAGCTGTGATTTTAGAGAGCCAGCAATTCTCCAAGGTCGAACTTCCTCCCAGATAGGAGTAAAAGTCTCACCCTGAGAAATATGTTAAGTGACTGCAGAGCAAATGAGCAAATCTCTCTGAATGGAACAAAAGCAGATGTTGCTGGAAAAGCTCAGCAGGTCTGGCAGCATCTGTGAAGTAAAAACCAGAGTTAACGTTTCGGCTCCGGTGACCCTTCCTCAGAACAGTTCCTGTTCTTCCTGTTCTTGGGCTCTTTTTCCTCCTTAATTCCCCTCTGACTCTAAAGCACTTTTTAAATTTCTTTCTTAAAACAAATTCTTTCATTAGGCTTTTGAACACAAATCTCCTTGTGCGCTTCGGTGTCAATTTTTTGTTTCCTAATGCTCCTGTGAAATACCTTTGACTGCTCCACTATGTTAAAAAGTGTTATATAAAGGCAAGACGAGGGTAGTGAAGAGAGCGGGTTTTACAGTTACTGAAAATGTGCATTGTATTAGAACAATCAAACATCCTTGTCAGGAGAAACTAGGAAGGACTTTGTTGCTGCACTTGCATTTCAGAAATGTTGAAGACCATGAACACCCTTGATTCCTCATCTGGCACTGCACCCAAGCTAGATGAAGTGGAACGGATGCTCAATGAAATGAGAAATCGCAATTTCGACAAGGAGAGAAGAGTGGCTGAGAGAGGGAAGCAAGAGTCAAAAATATGTAAGTATTCTAGTCTTGAGAAGAACAAATACCTTTCATTGGTTTTCAACAGACATGTAAATCCAACCATTTGATTCCAAATTGCTGAAGGTCAATTAAATAAAATAAACTTGATGGCACAGGAAATGGTTAAGATGAGTAGTATATGTGCCTCTTAAGGGAAGCTAGCTGATGAGATGTTCAGTCTGTGTCGGTTTTGGTCATATTCTCACTTCAAATTTCAGAAAAATAATGAATTGTCCTATCAACGGTACTTTTTTTCTCATTGCAGTAAACAACACAATAATTTATTTTCAATGTGATGTGACGATAGGTGCGATTTAATTTCAGTTCAGATTCCTGGTTTAGAATGCAACTTACTTTGTTCAAGAGCCATGGATGTAAGTCACTTATAAATGCGATAAGGAATTCGGATTAGATTTCTTCATCCTGAAATGTTGAGAATGTACAATTTGCTATTACAGTGAGTGGCTGAATTGCACAGATGCATTTAAGGTGAAGTTTGTTGGAAAGAAATGAGCAGAGGATGTGTTGATAGCATAGGAGGAAGCTTGTGTGGACCATAAAAGTGAGTTTGTTAGGTCAGACTGTCTGCTACTATTTTACTGTTTCCAGAGATGATTTCTTAATTGACATAGACACAGGTTTCTTATCTAATTAAAGCTGTTGGAAGCAAGAATGGAGGTGGAAAAGCAGAGCTGGTCAGACAGCATCTGAGAAGCAGGAAAGTCAACATTGACTTTCCTGCACCTCGGATGCTGTCAGAGCAACTGTGCTTTTCCAGTTCCACATTTATTGACTCTAGCTTCTAGCAGCTGCAGTCCTTTCTGTCTCTAGGAAGCAAGAACAAAGTTGGTTTTGGATTTCCAAACTTGAGGTTGAATGTTGCCCTAAAGGAGGGAGTTTGTGTCAAGCTGTGCCACTGTGTAACAGGGAAGCAGGTTGTCACAGAGAGCCAAATGATTGACAATGGATGAGGAAGATATGAGAAATCCTTTTTCCATGATGTGGCAGGAGAAGGCCATCTTTTCACGGAGCAGGGTCACCTTTCTTTCAGGTGTCATTTTCCCCTGGCTCCAATTTCTACTCTCCCACCTCCTGCTCCCAATGAAGTGTCACCTCCTTGGACCTCATCATCCTTAAGGTCCAAGCAGGAGGTCCATATTATCGAAAAGGTCAGAAATCACACAACACCAGGTTATAGTCCAATGGTTTATTTGAAAACACAAGCTTCGCCCCTTCGTCAGGTGAAGTGAGAAAGAAGCACACAGAACACAGAATTTATAAGTAAAAGATCAAAGGGTCACACAACTGATGAGAATGTATTAAACAAACCTATGATGCTGTTAAATCTTTAATCAGTTAGAAGCTTTTAATTGATTAATGTGTATATGTAAATCCCAGAATTTCTTTCAAGTCACTGCCCTGAGAGAACTACAGGTTTTATCACTGTACAGAAGAGGTGACATTTTAGGTCAGACAATGCATATTAGTTGTGAGGCCTTGTGATTTTGGTTTGGAGTCAGACCAGTTTTATTTCTAAAGTAGGAACTTATAAAATGCCACATTGACTGACTGTCTATTAATTGTGTGTTTTTGAACAAACTAGACAAACTGTCAGGGGCTAAATGACCTCCACCAAAAAACAGAATATAGGAACAGGAAATGCCATTCAGTTCCTCAATTTCTCTGCCATCAAATGTATCAACAAGATCAGATACAGAGGTGGAAATCTGGCTACATAATGTCACAGCTATTTTGGTTCCCCCAGTGTGTATCTATTCCAGTCCTAGCTGAAATCAGGAAAAAACAATCCCAGGTATTGGCCATCATCTCAGTGAGATGGAGGAACAGGCTCAAGGATCTAAATGGCCTTGTCAGTTTGCAAAATTCCTTAATCTGTGAGACAGGATTCTTTTTAATCAAAAATGTAATTTTGTTGTTACTCTCCTATTTCTTATTTATTATATGTTAGTGCTTGACCGTATTAAGAATGGACTGGTAAAAAATATTGAAGAGAACAAGCAACTCGCAAGTAATATAAAGGATGCACTAAGTTTATATCAGTCTAAGTTAATGGATCTTCAAGACGCAATGACTGAAGCAGCCAATCTAACTCGAAAAGCTGAAGACCTCAACAGAATTAATTCCATTTCACTGGAAGCTATTAAGGTGATTGTTAAATATCATTAATTGCATTACTTAATGGTTGAATTTTATTCCTTTGCAAAATCGATGTTCATTACAGTTCAACATTTAAAGTGATTTTCTTTTAATTAGGAAGAACTTTGAAAGAATTACAGTGAGTTTTGATAAAGAAAATAAAGGGCAACTGTTGTCAGTGGTAGGAGGCTCAGTAGTTGGAGGATACAAATTTAGGATAACTGGCACAAGAGCAATAAGAGAGATGAGGCAATATTTTTAATGCAGTGGGGAACATGCCACCTGGAAGTTGGTGGAAGCTGATTTAAAACAAACTGTCAGAAAGAAATTTCTCTCAGCCATGATCTCATTCAAGTGCTCCAAGGGGTCAAATGACCTCCATCAAAAAACAGAACATATGAACAGGAGTACGCTATTCAGCCCCTCAAGCCCGTTATACCATTCAAGGAGATTGTGGCTGATCTGTGGTCTAACACCATATACCTGCCTTTAACCCATATTCCTTATCATCTTAATTTATCTCAGATTTAAGATTAACATTCAATCCTACATCCACTGCCGTTTGTGTAAGAGAGTTCCAAACATCTACAATCCTTTGTGTGTAGAAGTGCTTCCTACCATCTCCCCTGAATGATCTGACCCTAATACTCAGACTATGCCCCCAGGTTGTAGAATCCCCAACTAGTGGAAGTAGATTATTTTTATCTCCACTATCTTTTCCTGTTAATATCTTGAAGACTTCAATCAGATCACCTTTTAACCTTCTAGATTTGAGAGAAAAGAGGCCTAATTTGTATAATCTCTCCTCATAACTTAACCTCTGAAGTCCAGGTATCATTCTTGTAAACATACATTGTACTCCCTCCAAGACCATTATATCCTTCTTAACGTGTCGTGCCCAGATCTGCTCACAGTACTCCAAATGGGGTCTAAACTTGGTTTTGTACAACTGCAGCATCACTTCTGCATCCTTACACCCCAGTCCTCTCGATATAAAGGCTAGCATTCTATTAGTCATCTTGATTATTTTCTGCACCTGTTCGTAACAGTTTAAAGACCTATGTACCTGAGCTCCCAAGTGTCTTTGGACATTCATTCTATTTAACTTCATACTAACTAGAAAGTCGTTCTGATCTAGTGCTGGAGATACTCAGCAGGTCTGGCAGCATCTGAGGAGAGAGAAACAGAATTAACATTTCAAGTCCAGTGATCCTTCTTCAGAACTTAGTTAAATGATCATCTCCTGTTCTTCCTTTCCTGTGAAAGCAGTGTTCTATTGTACAAATTTTACTGCAAGTGAAAATGGTTTGGTTTCAGCTAAAAATTTAATTTAAAACATCTCTGTTCAAAACACACCAGTGACATCTCTTGGCCAAAAGAATGTACTGAACACCAACTATATATTTTAGCACACTGTGTTTGCATAAATATCATTCTTAGACAGAAAATCTAACAACCTTAACTTTTGGTAGAGCTCATCTATATGGTATTGATTATGTTGGAAGGATTTCCCATTTTAGAGATTCTATCTAAATGCAAGTCATTGTTTTATTAATCCTCTACTTCCGCACTTCCTAGTCTTTAGCTGATCCAAAACACAGTGTGTCTATATCTGAACCCCCAGTAGATCCCACTAATCCATCACTTCAGGGGTATTTCACCTTATCTTCACAACAACTTTTATTTTGAACACATAATGTCAATATTAAACATCCGTAAGCACTTCACAACGGTATTATCAAACAATATGATATGGAGCCACATAAGGAGATATTAGGTCACATAAGGAGTAGGAACAGGAGTAGCCCACTCAGCTCCTCACCTCAGTCATGCAATGGGATCATGGTTGATCTAACATTCCTCACATCCACTATCCTACCCTTTCCCCTTAAGCCTTGATTCCTCTACTGATCAAGAATCTATCTACCTCAACCTTAAATAAACACAAGGACTCTGCCCCCACAGCTCTCTGTGGCAAAGAGTTCCAAAGATTCTCAACCCTCTGAGAGAAGCAATTCATCCTCATCTCACCTCATCCCTTTATTTTGAGACTATACCCTCTGGTCCTAGACTCTCCCTTGAGGGGTAACATTTTCTCAGCATTTTCTCTGTCAAACCCATTAAGAATCCTATATGTTTCAATAAGATCACCTCATTCTTCTAAACTCCAACGAATAATGTCCCAACCTGTTTAATGTTTGACCACATGACCAAAAAGCTTGATCAAAAAGCTACGGGTTTCAAGAAGCATTTAAAGGGAGGAAAGTGAGGGAATGCATTCCGGAGCTTAGGACTGAGATAGTTTGAGGTGTGGATACCAGTGATGGATCAATTCAAAATTGGAGATACTCCAATGTTTTATATTAAAGGCACCATGTATGTAGAATGTTCTTGCTTGATAATGGCTATATAAATCCAAGGTAATTGGTCTATACAGCATTATTTTCTAACAACAATATTTTGAAGCTGATCAGAGTTAACCAGAGTGGAACTTGGCACAAATATCTTCCCCCAGAAGGTGGTGGAAGGCTGGAACTCACTGGCCCAAAAGATGGTTGAGTTGGAAATTCTTGTAACATTTAAGCAGTATATTCACTTGCATTGTCATAACCTTCAGGGCTAAGGTCAAGAGTTAGAAAGTGAGGTTAATATAGTCAGATCATCGTTGAAGGGTGCAGAAATGATTAACCAAATGGTCTCCTTTGGTTCTGTATTTGTCTACAAGTTTTTGAGTTAGGATATAACAAGCATCTTAAAGGAGGAGGGAGAGTCAGAGGTTTAAGGTTTATTGGAGAGGCAATGGCCTAGTGGTATTATCACTGAACTGTTAATCCAGAGACCCAGGTAATGTTCTGGGGACCTGCATTCGAATCCCGCCACGGCAGATGGTGGAATTTGAATTCAATAAATATCTGGAATGAAGAATCTAACGATGGCCATGAATCCATTGTTGATTATCGGAAAAACCCATCTGGTTCACTAATGTGAATAGGGAAGGAAACTGCCATTCTTACCTGGTCTGGCTTACATGTGACTCCAGACCCACAGCAATGTGCTTGACTCTTAACCGCCCTCTGGGCAATTAAGGATGGGCAATAAATGCTGCCTAGCCAGCGACACACTGATCCCCTTAATAAATAAAGAAAAAAAAGGAAAGGATTCCAGTACTCTGAGTCCAAGCAGCTGTTGGCACAGCCACCAATGGGGAAGCTGCACAAAAGAGGAGTGCAGAGAGAATCATGGAGCAAGTGTAGGTCACAAGGATTTTCTCCAAAGAAATGAAAGGAAGGTGAAGTCCACTTGGAGCACCAGTTGTGGCCAAAGAATATTTCTGGAAATGTTAGAAAAGATCTCATTTTATGGGATGAATGAAGAGTCTTCATATATAGGACATGAACCTTGGAAACCCAATGTACAATTTTTTCCACAGAAGAAACATGGCGAATTAGATATTAAGCAGGCGGAAATTGCAAGTTTGCTTCAAATGGCGGAAGTCACTCTTACTAATCTGAACAACATGCTCCGAATGTTGGATGAAAGCCAGGAGGTAAGAGAAAGCATTTATCACCATATTTTGATATGATATCTGAATAGACTTCACATTCATATTCATATTTGATTATTCCAGAATTATGAGAAACACGGAGCACAGTTAGATGGAGCCTTATCAGCACTTGAAGACAAAATTAAAAAGCTCTCAAATGCTAACAACAAGGAGCCCATTGTGGTTAGTGCTGAGAAACATGCTGAAAACTTGGATCAACTGTCAAAGCAAATCCAGAGGTAAGAGGGATTCAGGGATAGGGCAGGAATGTGGTGTTGACATTGATGATCAATCATAATCTATTTAAAATTTCAGAGCAGGATTTAAGGGCCAAATGGTCTTCTACTGCTCCTATTTCTAAAGCTGTTACGTAAGAGCACCAGATAGTTGGAAAAAGCATGCAAAAACACAGACTGGCACAACAGTGCATTGCGTGGTTTTGTTAGCTATTGCGTGTTGGAGGAAAGAAGCTGAGTGGCCTTTCACATGTTACCATTCTCAAGGGGAGCAGGTGTTGTAGTGGTAATGTCCCTGGATTAGTAATTCCAAGACTCAGCCTCATGTTGTGGAGACATGGGTACAAATCTGACCACAGCAGCTGATGGACTTTAAATACAAACAACAAAGCTCAAATATAAAGCTAATTTCGGTACTGGTGATTATGAAACGATTGTTGATTGTTGTAAAAATCCATGTGGTTCACTGGCATCATTAGGGAAGAAAATCTGCTATCCTGGTCTAGTCTACATGTAATTCCAGGCCTTCATTTTTTTACTATTAACTCTGAAATGGCCTAGTGAGCCAATTGGCTCAAGGGTAATTAGGGATTGCAACAATCATCTTATTGTTAAAAAACATTCTCCCAACTTGGAAATATCTATATAGTATGGAGTGATAATAAGAGGGAGAAAATAATACAAGCTAATGTTTTTCTCAACATTTATCAGGTGCAAAGCTTTGGAAAAGTGAGGCTGGCAACCTGTGATGCATGTTCTTGATCTAGTTGTCTATATGGTTAATATCTTTTGCCTCTAGTTATGAGTTTTTGCCTCTGTTCCACCCAGAAACATAAAGTCAAAATCTAAGCTGGAACTCGGCAGCTCTCTGTAGTACTGCTCTGTGGGATGTACCTTCATTTGGGTGAGATGTTAAACTGAGGCGATGCATTTCCTTTGGGTGGATGTGAAAGATCCCATGGTGTTGCTTTGAATAAGTGCATTTGAGCTCTCCCTGGTGTCCAGGTCAATATTTATCCCTCTACCAACATCACAAGGACAGATTATCTTGTCAATATCATATTGCTATTTATGGGGGCTTGTTATATACAAGTTGTTTGTCCTGTGTCCTACAAAATGTAGTGACTACATCTCTATGTACTTTGTTAGTCATAGAGTGGTTTAGGATACCCAGGCTCATGAAAGACACTATGTAAATGTACCTTTTTTGAAACATTGTTTAGGTATTTGCTGCAATGCACAACAATACCACTTGCTCAAATGAGGAATCGGGAGGTTTTCTCATATCAACTTCTTCTGTTTAGACAGTAGGATGCAGAATGATTTGGTTTTGAGGGGCGCTGATGAAATCTAAGTGAATGGGCTAGAACACGGCAATTGGAATAAAATGTGAATAAGTGTGAAGATATTAACTTTGGTAGAAAAAACAGAAAAGCAGAATATTTCTTAAATAGTGAGATGATGTTAAGTGCAGATGCCCAAAAGGACCTGGGTGTCGTAGTTCATAAGTCACTAAAAGGTAACATGCAGGTACAGCGAGCAATGAGGAAAACAAATAGTATGTTGGTCTTCATCATAGCAGGATTTGAGTAAAGGAGTAAAGATGTCTTGCTGCAATTGTGTAGAGCCTTGGTAAGACCTCACATGGAATATTTGTATACTGTTTTAATCTCCTTCTCGAAGAAATGATACACTTGCCATAGAGGGAGTACAACAAAGGGTTACCAGAATAATCCTTGGGATGGAAGGCTTGTCTCGTTAGGAAAAATTTAAGAGACTTTTATTCTCTAGAATTTTGAAGAATGAGGGTGATCTCACTGAAACTTAGAAAATTCTTACAGTTTGTGTCATGGTGAATACAGATGCTTGCTTTGACCTGTGAGTCTAGAATTAGGGAACACAATCTCAGGATAAGGGAAGATTAAGGAAGGATATTTTTACTCAAGGTGGTGAATCTTTGGAAATCTCTACCGAGGGGCTTGTGGCTCAGTCTTTGAGCAGATTCGAGGCAGAAATTGATAGATGTCTGAAGACTAATGATGTGAAAGGATATAGAGATAGTGTGGGAAAGTAGCATTGGCCATGGTTTAGTGAAATGGCACAGCAAGTTTGATAGACTGAAGTGCCTACTCCTGTTCCTATCTTCCTAAAACCAAGCAGTACCTCATTTGCTCATCTCACACTCCTTGATGACTTTGGGATTTGCCACAACTGCAGATTGAAGAACAGTGGACAGGCCCAGTAGAACTGCTAGCTCTGATTGGACATACTCCTGGAAATAGCATTACATGACCATCCACAGCTTGCGCATGCCATTGGTTGCCAGATCTTATTTGACTCTCTCCTTCCCACAGCCAATCAGAAAACTATTGGATTCTGATTTATCCATTTTGGTGCTTGTCAACTGTCAGCCAAACAGCCTTTCTCTCTGTCCCCCATCATATTATAACCAATTAATAATGTTGTCCAAAATTAAATGAAACACTCATTTCAAAGCCCTAAATACATTTTGTTTTCTCTCCAGGATTCATAGAAGCAGTGTCAAGGATATTAACCTTAAATCCCTGGACACTGCAAGGCAATCCTGGCAACTCGAAAGCTCAGAACACATAACTGTCACCTAGCACCAGTCCCATCCCTACCAACATGTTCCCTCATTTTGGCATTAACCAATTTCTGGCCAAGCATTACATTGGGCTGGATTATGGATTTTTTTAATCAACCTGCTCAGAGATGTTATGACACACATTTGGAGCAGGTGGGACTTGAAGCAGAGTCTCCTGGCTCAGAGGTGGGGACACTACCACTGCATCACATGAGCCCTGTTCAAGCTGGATTCTACTCTCAGTGTAGGCGTTTTGCACCACTGCAGAAATTTTGGTAGTGAGTCACATTTCACTTGGATTTATTGCATTTATGCAGAATTTTAAAAAAACGTAACTTTGATTTTAAACTGTTCATTTCATAACAGAGCAATAGAAGAAGTGAACCAAGATGCCTTAATCCAACGTGTAGTCAATGCCTCCGATGCCTATGAGAAGATAATCAATGCAGTGGATGCAGCAGAGATGGCAGCCAATAAGGCGGCAAATGTATCACATATTGCTTTGCAGGTAAATGTCAAGACTCCCAGATAAAGTGCAGCTGGTTAAATGCTGGCAGTGGGTGAGTAGAGGAATGGACTAAATTGCATAACTGTCAACCTATAAAAATTACTGGATAGGCTTCAGAGGGAGTAAAGCTCCAATTACAGTGATAGCATTTTAGGAAGAATGTCAAGCCGTTGGAAAAGGTTGAGAGATGGAGAAACATCAATTCTCAAAATGTTTTAGCAGCACTAAAGGATATACAGAGAATTGGGGTAGTCAGGAGATTTGAAGTTAAAGATGATAATTTAAGAATGGGGCCCTGCAATTTCTTTCCTAAAGCTTACCAGCTTTTTCTTCTGTTTTAAGACATGATTTGGCCAATCTTTAGATCAGGACATAAGAACTAGGAGCAGAAATAGGTAATTCAGCCCCTTGGACATGCTCCACCTTTTAACTCATCATGGTTGATCTCATCCCAAGGAAGAAGGATCATGCTAAGAGCAGGACAAAGCAACCATGGCTGACAAGAGAAGTCAGGGACTGCATAAAAGCAAAAGAAAAAGCATACAATGCAGTGAAGATTTAGTGGGAAGTCAGAGGATTGGGAAGACTTTAAAACAAGCAGAGGACAACTAAAAACAGCAATAAGTTGGGGCGGGGGGTGCAGGGAGAAGATGAAAAGTGAGGATAAGTTACCTAGTAATATAAAAGAAGATTGTAAGAGGTAAGAGAGAGACAAGTGTGGACATTGGACAGCTAGAAAATGAGGGTGGAGAAGTAGTAATGGGGAACAAAGAAATGGCAGAGGAACTGAATAGATACTTCTCATCCATTTTCATGGTGGAAGACACCGCGAGCCAGAACTTCAGGAGAGACAGAGGTGAGTGTATGGCCGTCATGAGGTGAAGGTGCTGGAGAAGCTGAAAGCTCTGAAGGTGGATAAAACACCCAGAATAGATGAACTACACCCTGGTGTTCTGAAACAAAAAGCTGAAGAGATTGTGGAGACATTGGTGGTGATTTTTCAGGAATCAATGGAGTCAGGGAAGGTCCCAGAGGACTGGAAAATGGCTAATGTAACACCCTGTATAAAAAGGGAGGGAAGCAGGAGACAGGAAACTATAGGCCAGCAAACTATAGGCCAGTTTGCTTGACCTTGGTTGCTGGTAAAACTTTAGAAATTTTAGATTTGAATTAAGAATAGCATTGCGGAGTACTTGGAAGTGTGTAGTAAAATAGGACTGAGACAGCATGGCTTTGGCAAGGAGAGGTCATGCCTGACAAACCTGTTAGGATTCTTTGAGGTAATGAGCAATGTGGGAAAGTGTGACATCATGCACTTTGGTAGTAAGAATAGAGGCGTAAACTATTTTCCAAATGGGGTAAGGCTTCAAAAATCTGATGCACAAACAAACTTTGGAGTCCTAGTTCAGGATTCTCATAAGGTTAGCATGCAGTTTCAGTCAGTAGTCAGGAAGGTAAATGCAATGTTAGCATTCATTGCAAGAAGGCTAGAATACAAGAGCAAGGATGTACTCCTGACTCTGTATAAGGCTCTGGTCAGACCTCAGTTGGCATATTGTAAGCAGTTTTGGACGCCGTATGTCAGGAGGGATATTCTGGCATTGGAGGGGGTCCAGAGGATGTTTACAAGAATGATCACTGGGTTGAAGAGCTTGACATATGGGGAGCAGTTGAGGACTTTGGGTCTGTACTCAATGAAGTTTAGAAGGATGAGGGGGTATCTGATTGAAATTTGCAAAATACTGAGAGGCTTGGATCGAGTGGATGTGGAAAAGATGTTTCCACTAGTAGGAGAGACTAGAATCCCAGGGCACATCCTCAGAGTGAAATGACGACTCTTCAGAACCAAGATGAGGATAAATTTCTTCAGCCAGAGGGTGGTGAATCTGTGGAACTCATTGCCACAGAGGGCTGTGGAGGCCAAGTCATTGAGCGTATTTAATACAGAGATAGGTAAGTTCTTAATTGGTAAGGGGATCAAGGGCTATGGGGAGAAGGCGGGAGAATGGGGTAGAAAAACATATCAGCTATGATCAAGTGGTGGAGCAGACATGATGGGCCAAATAGCCTAATTGAACACACATACCTTACGGTCTTATGGCCAACTCCACTTTCCTGCATGCACCGATAACCTTTTAATCCATTACTGATAGAAAAAAGTCTGTCTGTCTCCTCCAATTTATACAGTGTTGAGGCATCCACAGCATTCTGGGGTAGTGAATTCGAAAGATTCATGACCTTTTGAGAGAAGAAATTCCTCCTCATGTCTGTTTCAAATCTGCCTCCACTTCGCCTAAAACTATGCCCTATCATCTAGATTGAACATCCACTCTACTACTTTGTTAACCCCTTATCTGCTTCAATCAGAATTCCTGTAATCCTTCTCAACTCTAGTGAGTATAGACTTAAACTGCTTCATTTCTTCTCATAATTAATCTTGTCTGGAATTAATCTTGTGAGCTTTCTGTGAACTGCCTCCAATGCAGTTACATTCTCCCTAATTTGAGGGGACCAAACAGGATGTGGTACTCCAGACAGGGTCTCACCAATGTTATGTGAAAAGACTAGTTAATCTACGATTGTTCTGTTTAGACAGAGATGGTAAATGTGAAGTTAAATAGAAGATTTTGAAATTTGGAGAGTTTTGAATAGCGTAAATTGAGAGAAACTTTCTCATAGCTGGACAGTTAGGGAACAAGGTTAAGATCAGTGACAACAGGATTAGAGGGGAGATGAGGTGAGATTATCATATGCAGCACGTTGTCATGATCTGGAGCTCACTGCCTAAAAGGGCAGTTGAAGCAGCTTCAAGGTCATGTCTCACCAAATGATTGAATTTTCCCAAGAGGTGACCAAGTGTGTAAATAAGGGCAATGTATTTGTCAGAATCTACTTGGATTTCAGCAACGTTTTTGATAAGGTCCTACATGGGAGACTGATAGCAAAGGTAAGAGTCTATGGGGTCCAAGGAAATTTGAAAAATTGGATGCAGAATAGGCTGAGTGGCAGGATGCAGGTGGTGATGGTCAAGGGGTGTTTATGTGACTGGAAACCCAGTGGGGTCTGTAGGGATCAGTGTTGTTGTTTATGGTTTATGTAAATGATTTAGACTTGAATGTGGGAGGGCTAATAAATAAGTTCACAGATGATACAAAAATTGGTGAGATGTTAAAAAGGAGGCTAGCCTTAGATTACAGAAGGATATAGACAGTCTGGTCAGATGAGCTGATCAATGACAAATGCAATTCAATCTGGATAAGTGTGAGGTGAAGCACTTGCACAAGAGAAACATAGCAAAGGAATACATGATGAATGGTAGAACCCTGGGAAGCACCAAGAATCAGAGGGATCTTGGTGTGCATGTCCACCGGTACCTTAAGGTGTCAGAACAGGTGGAGAAAGTGGTTAAGGCAGCATATGGGATCCTTGTTTTTATTAGCCAAGGCACAGCGTTTAAGAGCAGGGAGGTTATGCTGAAACTGTATAAAAGAAGAAGAGGAGACTGAGGGAAACATGATGGAGATATTTAAAAATTATAAGGATTGTAGACAGGGTAGACAAAAAAATAACTTTTCTCCTTGGTGGAGAGATCAATGACCTGGGGCATAGATTTAAAGCAAGGGGCAGTAGGTTTAGAGGAGATATGAGGAAAAAATGTTTTCACCCAGAGGGTGGTGGGAATCTGGAGCTCACTGCCTGTAAGGCTGGGAGAGGCAAAAACCCTCATCACACTGAAGAAATATTTAGATGTGCCAAGGCATACAAGGCTACGGGTCAAGTGCTGGAAAATGGGATAAGAATAGTTAGGTGGTTGTCTTTGACCAACACAGACCTGATGGGCTGAAGGGCCTTTTCCAATGCTGCAGACATCTATGACTACAAGAATAATTTTCTGAAGGGAACTGGATATAATTGGAAAGAAAATAATTGGGAAGTGAGATTAATTTCTTGGGCAATTAGGAATGACAATAAATGCTGGTCTTGCCAACGTGTGTGCCCACATCCCATAAATGATTGAAAGTAAACTTGGATAACTGTTTGAAAAGGTCTGATTCATTGAGATGAAGAGTTTCCTCATCTATAATTCTAGACTTTTGTCACTTGCAGTGGTTGTATTTTGGCACAATGTCAATCTTTGTTTGAAAACACTCCTGTAAACTTATGACTTATTTATGCTTATAATTGTGGTTTTAGGCTGTGGTGAAGGAGAATTTGCCTGGCCAAGCACATGAGTTAAAAACCAAAAGTGATGACATTTTGTCCACGACAAATGGATTGAAAAGCACCTTCACAGGTGGAGTATTTAACTTCAATTTAATATAGGTGTCTGGGGATCCCAGTGATGGTCAGATCTTAGGTGTACAGTCACAAATTGTCAAACAAACAAAAGAATTAATGGAAAGACATACAAAATAAAAACAGTGGAATCTGATAGGGATTGCTTATAGACAGGTTAAACACCATAATAGTTGCATGAGCTACTTTATCGAGAATTGACTTGTACACACAGGGCAGAATGTAATGCTGTTTCCCAAGGCATGTTTGGAAGTCAGGGCAGGGTCATTTCATCAAGTGGAATTGTGTAAGGTGGGGAGCCCAACATATTCCTGCCTCTGGCCCAATTTAAACTCAGTGTGGGAAGGCTTGTGGATGGCTTTCCCACACTACTGGCCATTTGTTTTCACATACAACCCTGTCATGTTTCACAGAATTGTCATGGTGAGGGAGGCCATTTGGCCCATCATGTGTTGGAGTCAGTTAGCTCAGTTGGCTGGATGGCTGGTTTGTGATAACAGGATGATCAACATCATGGATTTGATTCCTGCACCAACTGAGGTTACCATGGAGGACTTACTGTCTTAATCTCTCCCCTTCCATGAGCCATGGTCATCCTCAGTTAAACATACCACCGATTGTCTCTCTCTCGCTCGCTTTTTCTCTCTCTCTCTCTTTCATGAGAGAGCAATACCACAGTGACATGACCTTTACATGTGTGCACCAGCCCTCCATGCCAATCTCCTGCCTTTCCCTTAAAGCTGTATATTATTACTTTTTAAATAATCATCTCATGCCCTCTTGCATGTCTCAATTGAACATACGTGCACCACATTTCCAGGTAGTGCATTCCATACCCTAATACTCACTGTATGAAAAAGATTTTTGTCACCTCACATTTGCTTCTTTTGCAAAATACTTTAAAACTGTGCCCTTTGATTCTCTATCTGTTCATGAGTGGGAACAGTTTCTCCCTATCCGCACTGTCCAAACCCCTCATGAGTTTGAAAACTTCTGTCAAATCTCCTCTTTGCCTTTTTGTCTCCAAGGAAAACAGTCCCAAAGTCTCCAATCTGTCCTCATGACTGAAGTGTCTCATTCTTAGAACCATTCCCACAAACCTCTTCAGCACTCACAACTTTTCTATAGTATGGTGCCCAGAACATTTGCACAATCCTGCAGCTGAGGTTTATCCAGTGTCTTCAGTTCATCATAAGATCCCTGCTCGTCCACTCTATGCCCCTATTTGTGAAGGCTTTTTGCTTACAGGCTCCTGGTGGGAGTGGGAGGCAATGGGTGCAGGGCTGGGAGCTTTGCTGAAACACACTTAGTGCCTGACTGAGAGACCCAGCTTTGGGAAAGGAGAGCACACAGGAAGAGAACCAACTCCTCTCGCCCTCTTTCCCACACAACCCATTGCTTGACTTTCCATTCCCCCACTTAGCTGTGGCCTGGCGTTCCTCACTGGTCCTGAGTTTCTGGTGGATGCAATAACTGTAGCTGCCACTAGTCCCATTGGCACTGCCTGCAGTGAAGAGCTGTCAGCCTCCAATTAGCTGGTAGTTCCTGGGTGTGGATTTCAGTTCCAAGGGTCCATGGTTTGGGGAAGACCTGCTGCTGGCTACTTGGTGCCTGACTGGTTCTTAACCTATTGGACCCTTGCCAAAGGAATTGGGTCTCTAACGTTACCGGCTCTCTAGCAGGGAGTTCAGACTCCTGTCACCTGGCAAAAATACCACTTCCAAACTGTACTTCTGTCATCTATTAGTACAGACTTGATGGGCCAAAGGACATCTACTGTACTGTATTAACAAATTGTGTATGGCAAAATATTTTGGAAAATCATTCAGCCTGCTGCCATCTTGGGATCATCTGTACAGAAAAATTAACTCTTGTTATTTTGCAGATGTTTCATCAAAGCTTACAGATGCAACTAATCGCCTCGGCACTGCAACACTTAAGAAGAACCAATTGCATTTTGATCTTGCTTCACTTCAGACCAAAGTCAAACAAATAAATAGAGGTATGAATTCATGTCTTGTGTAAAAGCTGGTTCAGGTCAATGGACCAGATAAGCAGGAGGAGGCCATTCAGCCTCTCAAGCTTGTTCTGCCATTAAATTAGACCATGGCTGATCTCCGCCTTAAATCTATTTATCTATCTTTGTTCTTGACCTGTAAGACCCTTTGCCACGAAACTTTCAGTTTCAGTTTTGACATTTTAAATTGACCCTCATCCTCAATTTTTTTTCTTGGAGGGAGAGAATTCCAGGTTTCTGCCAACCTCCATGTGAAGTGTTTCTTGACATCATCACTGAAAAGCCTAGATAATTTTAATGTTATTTCCCCTTCTTCTGGACTCCCACCGGTTTCTTTATAATTCCATCTCATATTCTGTAATCATTTCAAACTCTTCAGTTGGATCACTGTTACTCTTCAACACTTGGGAAAGTGTTGTCATTATTAGCTTTTGCTGAATTTAAAATAAGCATTTTTCAATGTCTTCTTTCTTTCAGATGATGTCGGTGAGACTTTAGACATGGCAAAAGACGCAGCTAAAGAAGCAAATGATACTGCTAACAGGGTGATGTCTAAATTGCAGCCAATAATTATTGATGTAGGAAACCTCAACAAGACATCAGAGAATATTGCAAACACTACAGCTATTAACATAGCTTTAAAGGAGGCTGAAAATTCAGGTAAGTAAAATGATTTCTATCAATGAGTAATGCTAACATATGAATTAGGAGCAGGAGTAGGCCATTCAGCCCCTCTGACCTTGCTCCATTATTCAATAAGATCATGGCTGATCTGATTGTAACCTCAAATCCACATTTCCACCTAAAAACATTTCATCCCCTGCTTAACAAGAATCTACCTATCTTAACCTTAAAAAATCCAAGGATTCTGCTTCAACCATCTTTTCAGAAAGAGAGTTCATGACTGTCTGAAAGAAAAAAAATGCCAATCTCTGTTTTAAATGGGTGACATCTGATTTTTAAAGAGTTACCCCTAGTTCTATATTCTCCCCCAAGATAAAACATCCTTTCTTCATTTACCCTGTTGAGACTTCTCAAGATATTATGTGTTTCAATCAGTTGACCTCTTACTTTTCTAAACTCTAACTGATGGAAGCCTAGTAACATAGAAATGACTTGCTGTTTTCACTCAGCCTATGCCTTCACGTGACTCCAGTCTCAAACCAATGTGGTAGATTCCTTACGGTCTACCCAACAAGTCACTCAGTCATATTAAACTGTAATTTTAAAGTAAACACTACGTGAGTCGCAGCTGTTAAAGAAAACATTTGGGGGTGGGCAATAAAAATTGGTCTATTTATACAGGGACTGCAGTAATATACAATATCTTTCTTTGAAAGAGTGCTGAGGAAATTTCATAGAATGGCACCAAGGATGAGGAAATATTATTAATTTGGAGAGACTGGAAAGGTTGGATTGTTCTCCTTGGAGTATGGAGAGATTTAATGAAAGTATTCAAAATTATAATAAGGTAAAGGTATTTACACTTAAAGAAAGGTCAGTTGTCAGTTGCAGAGAGAATATAATAGGAGCAGCAATAGACGACTCACCACTGACCCCACCCCTCAAAAGAAAAGCCTTCCCCACCATTCAATACTGTTATGGCCGATTTTCTGCCTCAAATCAATGTTCCCACTCATTGTCTATATCCCTTGATTCCCCTAGAAATCATAAATCTGCCTCAGATATACTCAACAATAGAGCATCCACAATCCTCTTAGGGAGAGGACCAAAGATTTACAACCCTGTTAATAAAAAGGATCCTAGATTCCTGAGCTGGGGAAACTCCTTAGTGATAATTAACAAAATGAATCAAGGGTGAGTCAAGGAGAAACCTTTGTGTGGTTGTTACGGTTTGCAATGCACTGCCTTGAGGGGCTTTATAAGTAAATTCTAACTTTCAAAGGGAATTGAATAAATGTTTTAAAGAGCGTAATTTGTAGAGCTACCAAGAAAGAGCAGAAGGGAATGTGATAATTCTTTATCATTCTGAATACTGATGTGGTGGTATTTTCAGTAGCTAGACTAACAAATGTTTGAAGTAACCATTGAAATTTAATATTTGTTCTCTCACACAGTAAAAAATTTGACCAATACCCTACCAGGCCTTGTGAAGAAGCTAAAGGATTTAAGCCAAATACAACCTGTCAATAACATCTCCAAGAATATAGGCCGAATCAGGGAACTTATTGATCAGGCCAGGGAAGCTGCTAATAAGGTTTGTGTTATTAAATGGATTAAAAGTCAATGTTTTGGATATTCGTTTCAATTATTTCACAAATTAATCATAAACTGGAATTTTCTGCATTATGAAAGACACCTTAACATGTGAAGCTAACGACAATAAAGCTACATAGGAACAAGAGGAGACCATTTGGCTCAAGAAGTCCCTAAGACCTAAGGTGAAGGAGAAGCAGAACTTTTCCAATTCTCTGGCTTACCAGTAACGTTTGCCAGATTGTATGTTTTTCTTTCAATTTGATACTATCCTTAACTCCTGTGGTTAACCATGGTTGGCTTATCCCCTTCCTAGAATCATTCTTCCACACTAGAATATAGCTTTGTCGTAAGCCCTGAACTATTTTCATAAATATCTGCCACTGATCTTCATTGTTTTTGCTGCTAAGCTCCATTCCCAATCCACTCCAGCTTGCTTTGTCCTCATTACTTTGTAATTATTTAAGCTAAGCACGGTTGTTTCTGACCCAAGTTCCTCCATCACAAACTGAATGCTAAATTCTACCCCATTGTAGTCACTTTTTCCAAGGGGACCTCTAATTCTGACATCATTTATAAAACCTGCGTCATTACATATGACCAGATCCAAAATAGCCTGATCACTGGTTGGATCCACAACATATAATTCTAGGAAACTGACCCGCATAGACTATGAATTTTTCCTCATGGCTTCCTTTGCCAATCTGACTATCCCAATCTATGTGAAGATTAAAGTAACCAATTATTAATTTAGTGCCTTTGTTACATGCCCTCGACATTTATTGATTCATTCTCTGCCCCACCGTACAGTTGCTGCTAGGGGGCCTATAGACTATTCCTAACAGTCTGTTCTTTCCCTTTTTATTTCTTACCTCCACCATATGGAATATCTGTCTATTCTAGCGTAATCTAGTCTATTTAGTCTATTCTGTCATTCAATAGATCAAGGCTGATTTGTATGTTTTACTTTCCTTGGTTTTATGACCGTGCTCTCGCAGATGACATTTTTTAAATGCCTTGACTTATGCTGAAGAAGAGTTGTCCCCTGTGCCCTAGTTCAATATTTATTCTTTTTATCAAAATCACTTTTTAAAAAATATTACCCTGTTATTATCATATTGCTGCTTTTGTGACCTTGTGGGGAAAATCAGCAATGCCTTTTGCCACAACAATGAGTACATTTCAAATATACTTTGGCTATGAAACACCTTGGACTTTCTGAGGTTGTGAAATGTATTGCAGAAATGTTATGTACTTCCTTTTATATTGAATAGTTTTCTAAGACTTTTCCATTTCTCCTGTCTGGTTATAGATAAATGTGGCAATGAAATTCAACGGTGATTCTGGTGTTGAAGTACGTCTTCCTGATAATCTCGATCACTTAAAATCTTACACATCTTTACTGTTATACCTCAAACGGCCAGAAGTCCTACCACCCCGAGGAGATGCTGGGAGGCGTAAGAGGCAGGATTCCTCAAACATGTTTGTTTTGTATCTGGGTAACAAAGATGTAAGTATTTTTCTTCGCACGGACATTGGGAATATAGCAAAATTACAAGAAAGCAACACTTTAAGTATGTTGTCGAATATTTTGTGCCAGTTGTTTATTTTTCATACCAGACATCCAAAGATTACATGGGCATGGCATTGGAGGGTGAGAAACTTATAACTGTCTATAAACTAGAAAAAAATGAAGAGAAAATAACCTCTGAAAAAACCGTCAATGATAAAAACTTCGACAATATCAAATTTGAAAGGTAAAGCTAGATTTAATTCTTTCAAATTTTGCAAAATTACTGTTTGTTGTAATTTTTTCTTTTATTACATGCATTTTGTGAAAACACCTGCATCGAAGTATATATTCATACTTCATTTCTTTTGCCCAAATGACAAAAGAATATAATCTATATCGATGACTTGGATGAAGGGACAGAATGTACAGTTGTTAACTTTGCTAATGACTCAATGTTAATAGCAAATAGGTGAATAAATTGTGACAGGACATAAAAGAGCCTGTTAAGGCGTATAGGTCAGTAAGTGAGTGGATACAAATGGAGTGTAATTTTGGAAAATGTGAACTTGTCAATTTTAGCAAGAAAATAGAGAGAAACTCCAGAACTCTAAGATATCGAGAAATCTGGGTGTCATGGTACATGAATCACAAAGTTGGCATGCAGGCAGAGGTCAGGAAACCTTCACCTGAAAACCTCAGAACTTCAGGGTTTTTGGACGAAGGAAATTTTCGGTTTTTGGATGTACTCACTTTACCATGTAAGATCTTTTAATGATCATCTCATAACCAAAAGCAAAATATTCATTTAACTCTTGAACTCAACATACCCTAGTTTGTTGGGGAATGGCTTCACAATATCTTTATCCAAAACCTGATGGTATCTGCATTTAGTATTCTTTGTCTCCATTTGTTGCTACACTTACTAGTAAGGTCCGTTCCAGCCCTCTAGGAAAAACTTTCATGTTGCCCGAATGGACCCAAACAGAACTGTAGACATGCTGAGTTTGGTTCTTTGGAGAAAAAAAACTTCACTTTTAGATCTGTTTGGGCCATGCGAAGTTTTTTCCCAAAGCACCCAAACTCTGAATGTTTACAGGTTTCATCAGATCCATTCTGGTCCACGTTCAACAAAACCTTTGGTGTTTAGGTCTTTTTGGACATGTGGATAAAGGATACCCGACCTGTTCAGCAAGTTTAAATTCCTTAGTTCTTCAAGAGTCCAAAAGGTTTGGAAGAAACCTCAGGTATAAAGCCACTATTTAAGAAAGGAGTAACAGAAAGCAGAAAACGATAGACTAGTTAGTTTAAAAATGTCATTATGAAATTGCTCGGATCCAATATTTAGATATTTAGAAAATCATAATACAGTCAAACAGAATCAATGTGGTTTTGTGAAAGGAAAATCTTATTAGAAGTACAAGGTGGATAAAGGGGTATCAACATTGATCTCTAAAAGACATACAGTAAGCTGTGATACAAAATGAAATTCGCTGAAGATACAAACAGGTATGAAAACAAGTTTTGAGGAGGACACAAATAATCCACAACAGTTAAAGGTCGACCAAGTTGTGGGGGAGGAAATATCTCATTGCACATTACCAGGTAAAAGCAGGCAGTTTACTGTCGATTTCAGAATGTAAATACACTCTATGAACTCGGGCTTTCAATTTGATTTCAATATTAAAATTGCTCATGATTAAATTTTACAAGATTCCATTATCCCTTGATCTACTTACTCTCTGTTCTACAGCATAGCTGCACTTTGGGGCCTTAAAGCTACAAAATACAAACTACCAGTGACTTATTTTTCTTGCTATTTCCTACCTGTACCGAAACTGATTCTACATCTTAATTGTCAAAGCCAAAATCTCATGACAGTATTGGTCTCATCCTTTATTCATAGACTATCATATCTCACCTGACTTCACCAAGATTCTGAGGTTCCTGTCCTCTCTCACAGAGGGATGCCAATCAAATTATCTCCTCTTTCTTTCTTCCCTTCTTTCAGAATGTCAAATATCCTCGAATATTTAGTTCCCAACCAGCCACAACTCTGTAATAGTGATCATATCATTGCCATTTATTTCTACTTGTGTTAACAGTTCATCCATCCTGTTATGACCACTGTTTACAATCATATAAAAAGCCTTTAATTCTGTCTTCTTACCATTTTTTTTCCCCTACTCTGATCCTATTTGCTGGTGCTCTGTTTTATGTTTGTCACAAAATCGCTACTGTGTGGAAACAGGCCATTTGGTCCGGCAAGTCCACACCAACCTTCTGAAGAGCATCTCTTTGTATACTGCATCTCTTCTTATCTAGCTGCCATTCCTCATTTTACTACAATGCATTATTGCCTTATCCTTTCTTATTACCTCCTAAATCTCCCCTCATATGAACCCTACTCCACTATTTAGTTTAAAGGCCTCTCTACAGCCCTAAAGTCATGATTCACCAGAACAGTTGTCCCAGAGCAGTTGAAATGAAGTCCATCTGAATAGTACAGCCCCCTTGTTCCTGCTACTTGTGCCTGTTTACCACACCCATCTTTGAGTCTTGAGTTCAACTCCGATCTTATTACTGATTTGCTCATTGCTTAGGTAGTAATCCAGACATTTATTTTATGATCAGAAATGATCATTATTTATGAGACTAGTATTTATTGACAGATTTTTCAATTAATTGCTGTGTGTTAGATTTGATTCCATGTCTCGAAAGCATTAGTCTAGGCATTTGCATTACTGATCCAGTAAAGCACTCTACTACATCCTCTGGACCTTTGTGCCAAACATTAATCAGAAATGGACATATCAGAACAGGAGGAGGCAGTTCAGCCAAGGAATCTATTGTGCCATTCTCGATCTACTAATCTAAATTTAACATTTATAATTGAGGATCTCCATAGAAGTTCCATATTCCCACCAACGTTTGTGTGAAGAAGTGCTTCCTGACATCAACCCTGAGCAGTTTGGCATCATGACGTTTCAGTAATACGCAGATATATTGAAATATGGATTTAAACTTTATACTTGATTCTTGAGACTCTGTCATATGTACCTTTTGTGTCTTACTCTGAAAAATGTTTGGATGGCTCTGTTTTATGTACCCATAATATCCAGTGCAATGGTGTCACTTGTGCAGTTGACTCGATAGGAGGCTTGTAAGCTCCTCATATGAGATTATGTATTTTATGAAAGCTCTTGTGTTTCAGGATCCTACAGTATGGCAGCCTACACTACAGTCGAGTCAGTCCTAGTGAAGGGAAACTTGTTAACAGCGTCCCAGTTAACGCAACCGCAAAAGGAAATGGCTTGCTACTTAATCTTGATCCAAAGAATACAGTCTTCTATGTTGGAGGATTTCCCCCCACCTTTGTGGTAAAAACACATCAACTACTACACAATCTTCATTTGAGGATAGGCAATATGGAACATCTCTAGGTCCATTGCTTAGAATTACATTAAACTGTGTAGGATGTACAGCAAAAAACAAACCATTCAACCAATGCACTCGGTATCAGTGTTATGCTCCTCTCACCTTATTTCTTCACATCCCATCAACAAATGTCACTTCTTTTTCTCTCAGTGCACATTCAGCTTCTCCTAAACTGCTCTATTATAGTTGAATAGTCAATAACAAGGGGGCACACTTTTAAGATAAAAGGCAGGAGGTTTAGAGGGGATTTGAGAAAAAGAAATTTCACCCAGAGCGTGGTGGGAATTTGGAATGCACTGCCTGGGAGGGTAATTGAGGCAGCAAAACCTTACACCTTTAAAAAGTACTTGGATGAGCGCTATGGGCTCATCCAAGGCTATGAGCCAAGTACTGGAAAATGGGACGAATGTAGATTTAGAGTAGATTTTTGACGGTACAGACTCAATGGATCAAAGACCTCTTCTGTACTGTAAAATTCTATGCTTCACCTCAACTGCCATATTTCATAGAAGGTTCTTTATTCTTTGGGTAAAAGACCTTTTCCTGAATTGTTTATTGGACATATTTGTGACTCTCTCCTATTTGACAATGATGAATTTAGAGACTTGTGCACGTGCAAGCATCTTCTTCATGTCAGTGACTTGAGTCCATGCCAGTTTGATTCAATTTGATCATGACTGATCTGTGTCTTAATTCTGTCTACCTACCTTAATTCCATAATCATTCTGCAACAAAAATCTATCAACTTCAGTTTTGAAAACTGAAATCAACTCCAGCTTCTACATTTTTTTTGGATGAGAGTTCCAGTTTTCCGTTGTCATTTGTGTAAAGAAGTATTTCTTGACATCACTCCTGAAAGTCTTGGCTCTAATTTTAAGAACGTGCAGCCTTGTTCTGGACTCTCTTCCAGAGGAAATAGAATAAGGAAGTCTTGTTACAATTCTATAGGAATTTAGGGAGAATGCACTCAGGACACTGCCTAAGTTTTGGTCCCCATATTTAAGAAAGGATATACTTGCATTAGAGGCACAGCAGCAAAAGTGTACTGCATTGAGATGAGAGAGAGGGTTGACTAACGATGAGAAGTTGAGTAAATTTAGTCTATATTCTTTATAAGAATGAGAAGTAATCTCATTGAAACATGCAAGCTTGACAGGCCACACACTGAGGGGCTGTTTCTTTTGGCTGGTGAATCTAAAACACAAGGTTCAGGATAAGGAGCCAAGCTTTAGGACTTAGATGACACATTTCTTCACTCAGAGGGTGGTGACTCTTTGGAATTCTCCATTCCACAGGTCTGTTTTTAAAACCAGGGCAGACAGATTTTTGGTCTGTCAGGAAATTGAAGGATAAATGGGAAAGTGAGTTGAATCATAAGATCAGCTATAAACACATTGAATGGCAGAGCAGGAAGAATGTGCTAAATGGTTTTCTCCTGTTCTTATGTGTTCTTGTGTTTCTCTCTAAACAGCCTATCAAATTCTTTAATCACCCACACCTCAATTAGATCAATGCTTAATCTTTTGTGCTCAAGAGAATACCAGACTAGTAAATGCAACCAGTCCTCATAATTCAAACATTTGAGTTATCTCCATTTTCATTCTGGTAAACTAGTTATGTACCTGCTTGCAGGGCAATATATCAATGATGACATGATATCCAAGACTGACTGTAATTCTCCGGGTACAACCTAATCAGAGCTTTAATCAACTGTAGAAAAACTTCCACCCGTATTTATTCTCATCACATCATGATTATCCAGCGTTCATTAAAGATTTTAATTATTCAATTTATTAAATACTTCCAATACAAATTCATATTCTGAACTGATCATTCAAATTGAATCTGTTGTACTTTTTTATATTAGGAAGTTTTAGTTTCCACTGATATACTGTATCAAACTAAATTAATTAAAACTAATAAATTGTGATAAGATATTCATTATGTCCTTCCACCAATTTTGGTGTTATGGGGTTGGTGGCGGGTCAAATGGAGATTAACATTGTCCAGTTGGGCTGACTAGTCTGTAAATTCTAAGTAATTAATGTCACCATCAGGTAAACATCTAGGGAATGTCACGTAAAGTATCTCTGATCATATAAAATCCATTTGATATACAAACTTATTTTAATTGTAAGTGTTTTTTATTCAGCCTCCGGTTGCCTTAAGGTATCCAAAGTATAAGGGTTGCATTGAACTTGGTGTCTTGAATGAGAAACTGATCAGTTTATACAACTTTGAACGAACATTCAACATCAATACGACTGAAGACAGACCATGTGAAAGGTATGGGACAGCTAGCACTGCATGGTTCATCCTTGGACAAAATGTTTAAAACTTTTTTTAATGTGAAATCTTCCATTTCTTTCAAGGACTTCATGGAACTGTCTCATATTTGGGACAGTTGTCCTGAACTATGGGTTTTTTTGCCTGTATATGCATTGTCACGTTTGCTCGTTCCCACATTGTCAGCAGAACATTCAGCTGCCCATCCACCCTCCAAACCTCAATGTGTCTATGGTCTCACAAACACCACTCCCTGTAATTTTATCTGTTCCCTTAGAATTGGTGATCCTGGTTTAATAACTCATCCAAAAAAGGGCACCTTTGACAATGTAGCACTCCATCCGTAATGGTAATCATTAAGTCTGCATAAATTGCGTGGCTAGGTCTCTGAAGTGTAACTTGAATCTACAGACACTGGAGTTTTCTGATTCAGAGAAAGAATACTGAGCTACACAAGGTTCTTGCCAGCAGTTGGAGACATCCTTTCTTGTTGCCTGACATGTGCCAATTAATTTGGCTGTGAGTGTATGACTCCAATCCAGTGGAACAGGGTACAGTTTCAGTAATTAGTCTCTGCTTGCCCCACTGGGCACAGGTAGTTCAGATCAGGCTTTCAGTGTTTAGTTGCAACAATAATTTTGACTGTAATGATTAACTTGGACTTAACCTACACTGCTATCTTTTACAGATATAAGCCAACTAAAGAACCAGGAAGAGATGGTTTTTATTTTGATGGAACTGGATATGCATTAATTAAATTGTCTGGTTATTCAAAAAAATTAACAATTGAACAAACAATTCGAATTTCAAGTAAAAATGCAGTGCTGTTATATTTGGAGAGCAAGGTAAAATATTTTACCATTTTCTTTTCCGTCTTGTTCACAATGTTGACCACCAATTATTTTGCTGTCTGGATGCAGGTACACTGACATGTGCATGGGTCCAACTTGTCCCATCACTCTGCATGTAATATTGTAAATTTATCACACTCCATGCCAATTCCCTTGTTGATTCCTGCAACATCGCAACACCATACCCCAGTGTCTGGAGTGAAGGGGTGGGAGATAATCTGCCAGTGTGCCTTTGCAACTTCACTCTTTGTCCAATTGCTGAAGACACGCACACACTGAGGTGACAGCAGTCGTCAACAACCTTGAACGGATAAGTTTACTGACACTCCTAATTGGGTAGCATCAAAGATATTGGGAAAAGTCATTTATTCAAACGCACCTTCCAAACTACCAACCACTAATACCTAGAAGAACAAGGGCACCAGATACATGAGAACATCACCACCTGCAAGTTCCCTTCCAAGCAACTCACCATTCTGATTTTAAAATATATTTCCGTTTCATCAGTCTTCAGTTGCTTCAGTCAAAATCTTAGATTTCCCTCCTTACACCGTATGGACTACGACAGTTCTCAAAGGCAGCTCACCACCACCTTCTCCACTGCACTTAACAATGGACAATGGCCCAATCAATGATACCCACATCCCATAAACAAATTAAAAAGGAAAAGTGTTTGACTCTCGACTGTCCTCTGAAAAGGCCTGGCAAACCATTCAATTTTACTGAACAAAGCAGATCACTATAACCTTATCAAGGATTCACTTCCAGTTGGCACTGTTGTTGACTATTCGTTCAGTTGCTTAGGCCCTAAGCTCTCCAACTCGTCCAACTCCTTTATAAGTCTCCTTAAAACCTTTGAACAAAATTTAGATCACCTATGCAAACCCTTATGTAATTTTGAGTTAAATTAAGTAGTGTTGTAATCAGATATATTCTTTGTTTTAGGATTCAAGCTGTGTTCTAACTGTGGAAGATGGAAAGTTGGTGCTCAGATATCACCTCAAATCCAATGCACCCAAGAGTGCCCAATCATCAGTCCAACTAAACACCAACGAGGAGATTGCGGTAATTTTTATTGTTATTTAGATTGTGAACAAGTGGGTGCAGTATAAATAGTAGATAATTAAAATCTCTCTGTTCTCTGAGTGTGGATTTTATTAACCAATTTCTTTTGCACTACACAGTATAAATAAAAATGAATACTGTTTGGCTATAAATAAGTAAAATATGAAAATATTTATCTGATATTCTGTATAGAATACATGCTTTGTTTTAGGCCCATCTCAACCACTCTCATTCTACTAAGCTCAATGATTAAAGACCCTCCCTGCGAACCTTTCTTCATAAAAAATATCTCTTGGTTAATCACTTTGTCCACCTAACTTTTTTTCTCTTTCTCTCTCTGGACTCCCTCACTGTCTGCTCACTTCTCTTCCCCCTCCTCTACCTCTCTGTCATCAGAACAAATACCACCTTGTCCTAGCACTCTCCTGGCATGTAATTTCCTGATTTCCGTCTCCCTCCTTTCTTGAATAAAGGTGTTATATTTTCTATTTTCAGTGCTCTGGATCTTTCCAGAATCTAAGGAATTTTGAACAGTTATAAGAAATGCCACTACTATCTCTGTAGCCACTTCTTTTGAGACTCTAAGATGCAGACTCTCTGGTCCTGGGGAATCGTCAGCCTTGAGATCTAACAATTCTCCCAGTACCTTTTCCCTGTGGTGACAATTGTTTTAGGCTCCTCCCTGCCTTTCACTCCTTGATTCTCAAGTATCTTTGGAAAGTTTTCTAAATCTTCTGCAATGAAGACAGGCACAAAATACCTGTTCAGTGCCTCTGACATCGTTTTCCATTATCAACCTCGCTGTTTCATCAGAAGGGTCTAGGCCCGAAACGTCAGCCTTTTTACTCCTATGATGCTGCTTGGCCTGCTGTGTTCATCCAGCTCTGCACCTTGTTGTCTCAGATGTCTTTGACTTGCCTGGTTTGAGTTTAAGCAATTAGCTAAGATTGACAGTTAACAGTTCCTGTTCTTTCCTTTCTAAAATTGGATATCTCACATTTCAGTTCTGATGGGTGCAAGATAAAAAGCTTTGAATTTTTACTTTTTTTCGCAATGCTTATCTTGTATATTGCCAACAATTATTTATAAAGAGATTCCTCTTGCACTCTTCATGACCGTGTAATGGTTATACCCCTAGTTCTGCTGTCACTCATAACCATCTTCACCACATCTATCCTATCAAGCAGCTTCACAATTTTAAAGATCACAATTTTAAAGATCACAATTAAGTCATATTCTCAATAGCTGAAACCTCTTAGCTCAGCAATAGGATTATTTTTGGCACTTTTTTCAGTGCATTGATGACCTTTTTATTCAACGAAGATCAGAACTGTATACCAAGGTTCTTTTTAATTTTAATGTAACTTGAATTCTTTTAAGTAATAATTAATGTTTTATGTTCCTTGCAAATGAACAGCTTGCTTGAATACCATGCCCATAGTTTGGATGGTGCAAAGTACATTTTCATGATATTCTGCTCCCTGACAATATTCTAGTAAAGAACCTTAGTCTAAAAAAAAATTTTCAAAGGTAAATATTATTTCTGAAGTGTCAATGTTTTCAGTGTTCCTTTAGGAGAAAAGAAAATAACAATTTGTGGTTTTCTATCATCATCTATTTTAATCTGTTCTAATCAATTTTAATTTGTCATATTTAGTTCATATTAATTCTATCATATATGCTTACAATATTTTTCAATTTCCAATTACTTTAAGATCAAACTCATAATGGTCAGAAAGGATGGACGTACTGTTGTAACTGTCAACACTACACATGTTCTGGATGAGCGTAATACTTTCAATGAGTTGGATTTCCCTAACTATTACCTTGGAGGAATACCATCACAAATCAAGGAAGGGTATGTTGATCTGTGTTTTATTTTAAAAAAGATAAAGAAGCTGGATGAATGTTAAAAAAAATCTTTTTAACAAATTTTGCCTGTAGATGTCTTTTATTACAAGGCAGTAGATTCACCTTATTATGAGATAAATTTGAAATTTTATATTAAAAATAAGCCCCTCAATTTCTGTGGTGTTCTCAGATTCTGTAGCTGCAACTTCAGCACATTGTCAGTGGAGTCATTGGAAACACTGCCCTAAGGGAGTTTACATGAACAGATTCTCCCCAGACTTTAACTGTTCACCGTTTGACCTGGTAACTTGGCTTATTCCCCCTTTCAGAGTAGTGTAAAACAACAATATAAATAATTTGCTATAACTTTCTATAACACCTCACTAAAGTTGTGAAATGTCCGAAGATGCTGCATAGAGATGTTATCAGACAGAATTTGACAACAAGCTACGTAAGATATTAGGACAGGTCTCTGAATGCTTGATCAAAGAGGTATATAATTGTAGAATGGGTAATGCAGGTCTGCAGTTATCACCACCATCATGTCAAGGGCAACTGGCACTAAATGCTGGCCAGTCAGCAATGCCCACGTTTCATGAGTGAGTTTTTAAAAAAATATATACTGCAAAAGTGGTAGTAAAGTTGCCATTGTCCCACTCTCTCGGTAATACACCAATCCTCCAGCACCATACCTGTGCCCAGTGGGGACTGGAAAATGATGGCCAGACCTTCTGTTAGTTCCCCCAGCCTGCATTTAACAGCATGGGATACATTTCATATGGCCCTGGTGATTTACCTGCTTTCAGGGCTGCTAATCCTATTAATGCTTCCCCTCTCCCTATGTTTATCACTACCAATACTTTATGCCCTCCTCAGCAATATCCACATCATTTCTTGCTGTTGTAAAAACAGGCACAAAGAATGCACCTCAACATACATGAGTTATCTCCTCTTCAAAGGCAGCCCAATATTCCATTGACATTTCATCTACAAATCGTCAATTCCAATTTATTTGGGATCCTAGCCTTTATGAAATGCACATGGAATATTGTCATTAATTGCATGGTGATTAGAACATACACGTAGGGACATTTTACTGCAGCTGTACAGGACTCTGATGAGACTGCATGTGGAGGACTCTGTCCAGGTTTGGTGCTCTGATTTGAAAATGTATGTAATTACATTAGAAGCAGATTGATGTGACTTCTTACTGGGATCAAAAGGTTATCACATGAGGAGAAGGTGGACAGACTGGGGCAATAATCCATTGGAGATGAAAGACAGGTGATCTGATTAAACACGCAAGATCCTGAGGGGACTTGACAGGATGGATATTAAAAGCTGTTTCCTCTTGTGGAGGAGGCCTTAACTGTTCCAACATCCTGTGTTCCTAATTATCCATAATACAGAACAAAAGCATGGAAATTATTATAAATATGTGTAAAACACTGTTTCAGCCTTAATTGGAGTTAAGCTGGGAAACCAGCCCTGGGAAGGTTGTGAGGATGCAAATACAATCACAACAATAATTTCAGGGATGAGGAATTTCAGTTGTGTGAATAGATTGCAGAAGTCAGGGCTGTTGTCCTTGCAGGAGAAAAAGTTGGAAGTCAATTTCTTATACATATTTGAAATCTTGAGCAGTCTAGATTGAGTGGGTAGAGAGAAACTACTCCCATTAGTGGAAGATTCAAGGACCAGAATGCATAGATTTAAGGGCATCAACAAAAGAAGCAAATGGTGACATGAGGAAAAGTTTTTTTTTAATGCAGCAGAATTCAATAGAGGCCCTGAGAAAGAAATTTGATAATTAAGTGAGAATTAAGTTGTAGTACAAGGAAAATACAAGGAAATGGGATTGCATTGATTTTGCTGAGAACTGGCACTGACATAATCTCATAGATGGCTGCCTTCTGAGAGGTTAAAACTGTAAGATGTAGGAGCAGAATTAGGCCATTTAATGAGGCTGCTCCACATTCAGTCTTGGCTGATAGGTTTCTCAACCCCATTCTCCTGTCTTCTCCAAGTAACCCTTGATCCCTTGCTAATTAAGAACCTATCTATCTCCGCCTTAAAGACACTCAATGGCTTGACCTCCACACCTTCTGCGGCAATGAATTCCACAGATTAACCACCCTCTGGCTGAAGAGATTCCTCCTCATTTCAGTACTAAAGGATCATTACTTTACTCTGAGGCTGCTCTCTCAGGTCCTAGTCTCTCCTTCTAGTGAAAACATCTTCTCCACATCCACTTTATTCAGGCCTCTCAGTACTCTGTTTTATTCAGATCCTCCCTCATCCTTCTAAACTCCATCGAGTACAAACCCAGAGTCTTCAAACACTCCTCATGTGATAAACCCTTCATCCCCGGGATAATTCTTGTGGACTCCTCCAAAGCCAGCACATTTGCCCTTAGATACGGAGCACAAATAGCTCACAATATTCCAACTGTGGTCTGACTAGAGCCTTATACAGCGTCAGTAGTACATCCCTGCTCTCGTATTCTGGCCATCTTGAAATGAATGCTAATATTGCGGCTCCACTGTCTTCCTGCTAGGCTCCCCTCCCAATCAACTCTGGCCAGTTTCTCCCTCAAGTCTTTGGTCAATTGTAATCCCGTTACATCTGATTCCAGCTTCTCCCTCTCAAACTGCAGGGTTGATTGCTTACCTCAGGTTAACTCTCTCAGCACGTGAGTTCCATTAGTGAAGGAAATCTACTATCCTTATCCTGGTTTACATGTGATTCCAAACCCTCAGCAATGTGGTTGGCTGGGTCCTAAAAAGCCACTCAAATCAAGGGACAATTGGAGATGGACAATAAATGCAGGCCTAGCCAGCGATACCCACAGCCCACAAACGATTAACAAGATCCCTGAGGGTGAACAAATGGATGAAGCTGATTTCTGGGGAAGGGTGGATTTGGGGTGGCCTCTCCTCTGTTCTGTTTCAAGAATTCTCCTCCTTCACTCTCTTTCATCTTGAACTAACCACCATGCTAGGAAACTCTCTCTTCGAGCCTTGCTCCGTCTGAAGAAAACTATCTGGAGAGCGATGATAATGAAGGTTATAACACAAAGTTTGGTAAATGGAATTGAGCTCAGTTGACTGGATGGTTGGTTTGTAATACAGAGTGATAGCAACAGTGTGTGTTCAATTCCTGAACCAGCTGAGGTTATCGTGAAGGACTCTCCTCAACCTCTTCCCTCGCCTGACATGTGGTGACCGAGAGGTAAAACCACCAGCGGTCACTTCTTTCTCTCTTTTGTGAGAGAGTAGTCCTCTGGGACTATGGCAACTTTACCTTTATAGGAGGACGTGCTGATTGGATGAGACGAAGGATCAGGGAAGCTCATGTGGAGCAGGGAGGCTAAGTGATCTATTGCTCTCCCATAATATGTATATAATTCTCTTTGACTTTTTCATTCTAGATTGAACATACCTGTAAAAACATCAATGCGGGCCTGTATGAAAAATCTGAAAGCTAATGAAAGGAACATTGATCTGTCCAATGAACCTATTATTGGTGTTAGCAAAGGCTGCTCACAAGCACTCCTGGTGAGTTTTAATATACATTTCCCACAAGCAATCAATAATAATGAATATCTCTATAGAAATACTACAGAGTGGTGAGGCTGAAGAATGCACTGCCACAGAAAGCAGTCAAGGCCAAAACATTGAATGTTTTCAAGCGGGAGTTGTTTATAGTAAATAGGGTAAATTCTGAGAGGATGTTTCCCCCATGGACCAGAAAGCACAGTCTCAGAATAAAGGGCCATGAATTTAAGACTGAGATGAGGAGGAATTTCTTCTCTCAGAGGGTTGTGAGGCTTTAGAACTCCTTGCCACAGAGAAGTGTGGCTGGGGGGTGGGGAGGTGTGCAAAGTCCTTCTGTGTATTTAAGACTGAGACAAATATGTTCTTCATCAGTAGATAAATCAAGAGTTACAGGGAAAGGGCAGGAAAGTAGATGCAAGGTATGTCAGATCAACCATGATCCTCCTGAATGGCAGAGTAGGCTTGAGGGGCCGAATAGCCTACTCCTGGCCCTATTTCATGCAGTCCTATGGTCTTAATAACTTTGGTTACCAAATTTTCTTGAAGCCTGTCATGTGGAAGACTTTTTTAAACTAAAGAAAGACTTAAGTTCATATAAAACCTTTCACAATGATATACTGCTGCAGTACAGAAAAATGGCAATCAAATTGTGCACAGCAAACTCCATATAATCTATTTTAGTAATGGTGACAAATAAGTACTTCCATATGAAATCACAATCTCTGCTTAAGCTAATTAATCAGAAAAGGGTTGAGTTTATAACTATATTGAGATTAATTGCTTAATTTTCTTATTTCTCTATTTATTTTATTCACTAATCACTGCATATTCTATTCAGCTCTTTACAGAGATGGTCTTAATTTATTTGTACATTAACATGGTTATATCTGCAAGGTTAATTGAAGTAATGGCTTGGTGGGCTCACGAGACTAAAACATTTGAGAAATTGAGAAATATGGGAAAAACATGGATTGTAATGTGTAGACCTCTGGTCTTTCTATTACTTTGTTAATACCAGGTCACTGAGATGAGAGATTTCCTTATAATAAGAGGTTGAGTAAGCTGAGCCTATATTCTCTACAGAGTTTTTAACAATGGGATGATCTCATTGAAACATAAAAATGCTAAGGGGTCTTTACGAGGCAAACACAAAGAGGCTCTTCCTGCTATCTAAAGAACCTAACATGCAGAGCGACAGTTCACAGATTAGAGAACAATAATGTAGGACTGAGCTAGAAAATAAAAGCAAGAATAGGTGTTTCGGCCCTTCGAGCCTGCTCCGCCATTTAATGTGAACATGGCTGATCATCCTGTTCCTGCTTTCCACCCATACATTTTGATCCCTTTAGCCTTAAGAACTATATCTAACTCTTCCTTGAAAACATTCAATGTTTTGGCCTTGACTGCTTTCTGTGGTGGTGAATTCCTCAGGCTCACCACTGTCTAGGCCTCATCCCAGCCCTAAATGGCCAACCCTGTATCTTTCAAATAGATCCCTTTTATGTCCAACCTTTCCAAAGTGGCGTTGAGACCCCAAGTGGGATTGTGAACTGAAATTTTGGATCACAAGTCTGACCGGCCTGTGCTCTCACAACCCATATACACCCTGCTCTGCCACTTCTCAATGAGGGATCACTCCAATTTTCAAGTCTCACAATGGCATCTCAATGGGAAACACTGTTCTATGTTGTATGTTTCTATGGATACATATAGTTGCATAATGCACTGTTTTCTAATATTCCTTTCATTAGCTGGTCCGTACTGCCTACTTTAATGGCAGTGGGTTATTGGGACTTCCTGCATCTGATTTGAACATCCCCCAAAACTTCCACATTGGATTTGGTTTTGCAACAAGTCAGTTGAACAGTCTCCTGTTCTCATATGAAAAGGTAAGAAATCTATTGAGTAGCTCATTCTAGTATATCTACCTCATTTTTAAAACCAAACGAATTGTTGTTATCCTACAGTAATCAAAGGACTTCAAATTTTCTTCGAAAACATTGTTTGCTTGGAATTGGGTAGTTTATGTGGTAGCATTTTCCCATTTTTGGATAAGTCCATCTGGTTCACTAATGTCCTTTAGGGAAGGAAACTGCCATCCTTACCTGGTCTGGCCTACATGTGACTCCAAACCCACAACAATTTGGTTGACTCATAACTGCCTTCTGGGCAATTAGGGATGGGCAATAAATGCTAGCCTGGCCAGCAACGCCCTCATCCTGTGAATGAAAAAAGGAAAAAAAGGTGGCAAAGTCTTCAATGGCCTATTCCTGCTCCGACATTCTAGATATGAGGACAGATGGAGACTTGCATCTGAGAGATGACACCTATAACAGCGTAGCACTCCATCAGAATGACATGAGAGCATCAGACTGCATTTTTCCATTCAAGTCACTGGAGTCAGACTTGGAACCCATCACTTTTCTAGTCAGAGTCAAGAATGTGACCCATTGAAGCACAACCGTTCCTAATTAGTGAAAAGCAGAACAAAATCCCTTGAAAATACAGAGTAAAATGCATGAACTCAAGCGCGATGTGGGAGTGACTGTCCTTGATGTCAAGGCCTAATTTGACTGAATGGGGCATCAAAGAGCCTGAACAAAATTAGAGTCAATGGGAATCAGATGAGAACTCTCCATTGGGTGGAGTCATACCTGGCTCAAGGAAGATGGCTGTGGTTTTGGAGGTAAGTCCATGCAGCTCCAGGACATCTCTTCGGAGTTCCTTAGTGTAGTATCCCAGCCATCTTCAGCTGCTTCATCAATGTCTCTCCCTCCATCATAAGGTCACAAGCAGGGATGTTCATTAATGATTGCACAATGTTCAGCACCATTTGTGACTCCTCAGATATTGAAGCAGTCCATTTCCAAACCTAACAAGATTTGGACAATATCCAGTGATAAGTGATAAGTAGCATTTAGCGCCACACAAATGCTAGGCAATGATCATCTCAAGTAAGAGACAATCTAATCACTGTCCCTTGACATTCAATGTTGTTACCATCACTGGAACCTCACTACCCATATCCTTTGGGTTACCATTGACCAGAAACTCAAGTGGACTCATCACATAAACACAGCGGCTACAAAAGCAGATCAGAGACTAGGAATACTGCGACAAGTAACTCATCTCCTGACTCCCCAAATCTGTCTACTATCTACAAGGCACAAGTCAGGAGTGTGATGGAATACTCCCCACTTGCCTGGATGAGTGCAGCCCCAACAACACTCAAGAAGTTTGACACCATTCAGGACAAAGCAGCCCACTTGACTGGCACTACATCCACAAACATCCAATCCCTCCACCACTGACACTCTGTAGCAGAAGTGAGTACTATCTATAAGATGCACTGCAGAAAGGCTCTTCAGACAGCACCTTCAAAACGCACAACCACTTCCATCTAGGTGGTCAAGGGATACATGGGAGATACATGAATACAACATCACCTGTAAGTTCCCTTCTGATCTATTCACCATCCAGACTTGGAAATATATTGCCATTTCTTCGGTGTCACTACAACTCCCTGACTCCCTAATGGCATTTTGGGTGTCCCTGTACCAAATGGATTGCTGTGGTTCAAGAAGGAAGTTCACCACCACCTTTTCAAGGGCAGTTAGGAATGGGCAATAAATGCTGGGTTCAGCCTGTGATGCCCACATCCCCTGAATAATAGAATAAATACAGATTTTAATGCACTTTACCCCTACTGTGCAGGGCAATGGTGTCATGGTGTTGTGATCGCTGCACCTTAAGTAGATTTTTGCCTTCTATTAATGGGAGCCTCATCTGTTAACTATATTCATCTTGCAATAACTATATCATCAACATTCTGGTAGACTTTTTAATTTCAAGATTTTAAACCCCTGCCTAATATTTTCCTGCCAATTTGAATAGTGGAGGAGAGATTAAATAAAAGTCTGTCCCTAAATGAGACATTTTATGAAAATCTTTACTGAAAGTTTTCTCGTTTGTTTGCACTGTAGAATATTAACCAAACAGCTCAATTCTGATTCTGGAAGTAAAACAAAAATGTTTAATTCTGCAGGATAACTTTGAAGTCTTCCTGGAAAATGGTAAAATGAAGGTCAGTTTACTGGGCAACGTCCTACAGTCTCAAAGCTCCTTCAATGATGGTGCCAACCACTATGTATCAGTCCAGAACACAGGAAATCTGTAAGTTTCTTCACATTTTATCAAGTCTAATGTTTACTCTTTAATAGAACAAAAACTAGGGGGTGATGTTGCGGTAATGTCATTCGACTAATAATCTAAAGGCCCAGGCTAATGCTCCAGAGAAACAGATTCAAACCCCACCATAGCAGTTATTCAATTCATAAATCTTGAATGTAAAGCTCATCTCATTCAATGGTGACTATGAAACTGCCACTGATTGTCAGGAAAAATCTATTTGGTTCGTTAATTACTAACTAGGAAAGGAAATCTGCTGCCCTTACCTGTTTGAGTATATATTTGACTCTAGATGACATCATGACTCTTAACTGCCTACTGACTTGCTAGACCATTCCATTTGGTTCCAGGGCACTTAGGGATTGGCAATGAAATAATAAATTAGGATAGATTCTTAAACCATAATCTGTAACCATGCAGGACACAGAAGGTATTGAAGAGGAAATAGTCCCTATAAAGTTGTTTTAAAAACATCTGATCCAATTGTACAAATATGATTCAATAAGATATGTTGCACTATAGTTGAGAATTATAAATCACAGTTAGACCTCAGCTGGAGTATTAGGCACCATCCTTTACGAAGGACGTCCTTCCTGACTACTGCATAGTTGGGCAATACATATTTGCCATACTCCATTTGCATTTGCAAGTTGCCATAGTTCTACCAGACAATAGGCTGCTCTCTCATTAGAGAGAAATGACTGGTGGTAGGTCACCACATTTCAGGAAAGGGGCAAGGCTGAGAAGGAGAGTCCTTCATTATAACCTCAACCAGTGCAGGAATTGAACCCACACTGTTGGTACCAGTCTGTATTGCAAATCAGCCATCCAGCCAACTGAGCTAACCAATCTGCTGCATTTAATGTAATATATTATATAAACAAATATTGATTATCTTTATTCTGATATTTACTATTTGAGAATCTGCTTTTTGGTGTTTACCACTTTGCCTTTTGTTTTCAATAAAATCCAGTGTCAATCTGAATGTGGACGATTTAGAGAGGCTGACAGGAAAAATAACATTGGGTCAGCCTGGAACAAAAAGTTTGGTTTACCTGGGTGGGGACAAAGACACAAGGAATTTTGATGGCTGCATCAGCAACGTCTTTCTACAAAGGTAAAATTACTGTCTCTTTCTTATTCAGTTCAGTGACAATGGCAGTGACAATTTCAACTATTGTTGACTCAAATCTTTACTAGAGAGAGTTGTTAAATGAACAGCATTAATGCATTTAAGGAGCAGATAAATACATGATGGAGGTTAAACTGAATTTGATGAATTAGAGTGGCAGGTGGTTAGTGTGGAGCATAAAGACCAACATAGGTCACGACGGCTTTTTCTGTGCTGTAAGTTCTGTCTATTCCAGATGTGCATCTGGCTAAGCATTGTTGCCACCCAGAAGCTGACCCTTCACCATGCACAGAGTGGGAGGGGAACCAAACACAACTGCTTTTCAGGGCACAAATACTTGCTTATGCAAGTGCACATGCATAAATATATGGTTATTTAAGAACCAGTCCACACAAGCTACTCCTCTTTTGAGTCATCCTATTGTAGAAGCCTGTCCCTGGATATGTCCTGTCCCAGGACAGGCCTAGCAGAGGTAGCAGCACAGTGGTATACAGTCAGGGAGAGTTGCCCTGGGACTCCTCAACATTGACTCTGGTCATCATAACAGCATAACAAGGAAACCTCCTGGTGATTACCATATATTGAATCAGTGCTCCTTCATGTTGAACCCCATTTGGAGGAAGCACAAAGGGTGGCAAGGGCGCAGATATTTTCTGGCTGGGCAATTTCAGTGTTCACCACCAAGAATGGCTTGGCAGCAGCACAACTGATCGAGCTGGTCAGGTCTTAAAGGACATAGCTGTTAGACTGGGTCTGCAGCAGGTAGTGAGGGAACCAACAATCGGGTAAAACATTCTTGACGTCATCCTTGCCAATCTGCCAACTGACCATGCATCTGTCCCTGACAGTATCAGTAAGAGTGACATCCACAGAGTCCTTGTGGAGACAAAGTCCCGCCTTCACATTAAGAGTACCCTCCACATCATGTTGTGTGGCACTATCACCGTGCTAAATGGGACAGACTTCAAATGTAACCAGCGACTCAAGACTGGGCATCCATGAGATGCTGTGAGCCATCAACAGCAGCAGAATTGTACTTCAGCACAATCTGTAACCTCATGGTCCAGCATATTCCCCATTCAACCATTACCATCAAGCCAGGGGATCAACCTTGGTTTAATGGGAGAGTGCAGGAGGGCATGCCAGGAGCAGCACCAGGCATGCCTAAAAATGAAGTGTCAACCTGGTGAAGCTACCAAACAGGACTACTCACATGCCAAACATCATAAGCAGCAAGCAATAGATAGAGCTAAGCGATCCCATAGCAAATTGATCAGATATAAGCTCTGCTTTCCTGCCACATCCAGTCATGAAAGGGGGTGGACAATCAAGTTAACTAACGAAAAGCGGAGACTTCACAAATATCCCCATTTCTCAGTGATGGAGGAGCCCAACACATCAATGCAAAAGATAAGACTGAAGCATTTTTAATCATTTTCAGCCAAAAGTGCCAAGTGAACGATCCATCTTGGCCTACTCCAGAGGTCTCCAGCATCACAAATGCCAATCTTCAGTCAATTTGATTCACTCCACATGTTATCAAGAAACAGTTGCAGACCATTGGATACTCCAAAGTTATGAGCCCTGACAACATTCTGGCAATGGTATTTGTGCTCCAGAACTTACCTCTCTTCTAGCCAAGCTTTTCCAGTACAGTTACAACACTGGTATCTACCTGACAATGTGGAAAATTGCTCAGGTATATCTTGTACACAAAAAGTAGGACAAATCCAAACCAGCTAATTATCTACTGTTCCGTCAGTCTACTCTCGATCATCAGTAGTGATGGAAGGTGTCATCAATAGTGCAATCAAGCAGCACCTGCTTAGTGATGCGGAGTTTGGGTTCTGTCAGGGCCACTAAGCTCCTGACCTCATTATAGCCTTGGTTCAAACACAGACAAAAGAGCTGAATTCAAGAGGTGAGGTGAGAGTGACAGGCCTTGACACCAAGGCTGCTTTTGAGTGAGTAGGGTACAAAGGAGCTTTTTCAAAACTGGAGTCAGTGGGAATTGGGGAGAAGGTATCCGCTTGTTAGTCATACTTGGCACGTAAGAAAATGGTCATGGTTGGTGGGCATCAGTCATCTCAGTTCCAGAACATCTCTGCAGGAATTTCTCAAGGTAGTGTCCCTGATGTTCACTGATGACTGCACAATATTCAGCATTATTCGCGACTGCTCAGGTACTGAAGCAGTGCGTGTTCAAATGCAACAGGATCTGAACAATATTCATATTCAGGTTGACAAGTGGCAAGTAACATTCATACCACACAAATGCCAGGCAATGATCATCTCTAGTAAGAGACAATCCAAGTGCCCCTTGACATTCAATGGAATTAACAAAACAGAATTTACCACTATCAACATGTGGGGGATTGCCATTGACCAGAAACTCAACCAGACTCGCCATACAAATACAGTGGCTACAAGAGCAGGTCAGAGGCTAGGAATATTAAAGCCAATTAACTCACCTCCTGACTCCCCATCTACAAGGCACAAGTCAGGAGTGTGATGGATTACTCCCCACTTGCCTGGATGGGTGCAGCTCCAATAACATTCAAGAAACTTGACACCATCCAGGACAAAGGAGCTCACTTTATTGGCATCGCATCCACAAGCATCTACTCCCTCCACCACTGACGCTCAGTGCACACTGCTGCTACTATCTACAAGATGCACTGTGGAAATTTCTGAAGGCTCCTTTGACAGCACCTTCCAAATTCATGGCTGCAATAATCTAGAAAGACAAAGGCAGCAAATATATGGGAACACCACCTGCAAGTTCCCAGCCAAGCTACTCTGACTTAGAAATACATCGTCGCCGGGACAAAATCCTGGAACTCCCTCCCTAAGGGCATTGTAGGTCTACCTACAGTACTGACTGCAGCAATTCAAGAAGGCAGCTCACCACCACCTTCTCAAGGGGCAACTAGGGACGGGCAATGAATGCTGGCCCAGCCAGTGATGGCCTCATCCCACAAGTGAATAAAAAAAGAGAGTCTTAGGTGTGGGAAATATTACTTATGACTGAAATTATTCTGAAACAGTATTGATCACTGCAAAATTGCAATTAAAGTATATAAGTCTTAGCTCATCATTCATTTTATTCATTTACCTTAAAAATCCATTAAAACATGGTAAATTAATTGGAATTGGTGATTTGACAGAATACTTTGCTAAAATTGCTGCTCTAACCAAATGGACTGGGGCTACAACAGATATCCTAATCATATCTCTCCCTTTAGGGACCATGAATCACCCAGAGTTGAAAATTTGGCACTTTCAACTGAGGACACTGGAGTATACCTGGACACCTGTCCCCAACAGAGAGCACCAGAAATGCTCATGTTGAAAGAAGGCAGAAAATGGAATGGTCAAGAGACAATTAAAATGAACAAGGTATGCAAAGTCTTGTTCCTCAGGATAATGTAATCTAAACAGCATCAATGACCGATGTATGTTGATAGAAGGTTTCCTCTGTCACAGAATGGAAAGAATCATAAGGTTATTCCTGATCATTCAACAAAGGAGAATACAGGGCAAGAACCAAAGGACTGCATGTTGTCATGGCAACCTAAATCAATCAATGGTGCCTATCAGTTTGGAGATTCACCAGACAGCAGATTGGAGTATGACTTTATTCCTGAATCATTTAAAGAGAGGTAAAGTGAATTTTATTTACAATCTGTATTTTAGTTATGAATCTATCGATATGTATGTTTAAAGAGTAACTGTTACAATGCAAATGCTGCATACTTACTGAGTTCCATTAGGATATATTGTGTGACTTGATACTGGTGTTAGAAAACAGCATTTCCTGACCATCAGTCAGCAGCATAGCGAAAGACCAAAATACTGCAAATGCTGGAAATCTGAAACACCAGTTCTGAATGTCATAAAGGACTTGAAACATTAATTCTGTTCCTCTCTCCATAGACGCTACCAAGCCTGCTGAGTTTCTCCAGCATTCTCTGTGTTTGTTACATAACGAAAGGTGTATTTTATGGCTGCTTTGTGGCCAATGCATTGCTAGGTGGAGCACCACACATGCAATGTAAAACTGGTGTACTGCTCATTGCTTTTAAACTTGCATCCAGCAACAAAATGCCATTTATCAAAAATGTTACCTTATCCAAATAATTCCAATACCTTCCACATTGAAAATCTGGAATTAAATGCTGGCATTAAGTGCAACTGTGTAACCATTGCCAATTGTCAGAAAAACTCACTTCGTTCACAAATGTGTTTTAGGGAAGGAAATCTGCCATCCTTACCCAGCCTAGCCTGAAGGTAGTTCCAGACACACAGCAATATGGCTGATTCTTAACTTACCGCTCAAGTGGCCCAGCAAGCCACTCACTTTGAGGGCAATTAGGATTGGGCAACAAATGCTGGCCTTACCAGTGACACTCACAACCATGAGCAAATTTTATAGGGAATTCAATCAATATGAATAACTGTTCATTCCTGGTAAAATCCATAAAGAAAACATCCTGTGTAGCTCGGAGTCATGCTGACTGGTAGAAGATGTCAGAAGTCACATGGCATCAGGTTATAGTCCAACAGGTTTATTTGAAATCACAAGCTTTTGGAGTGCTGCTCCTTCATCAGGAGAAGTAGTAAAAGATATAACAGAGTGTTGTAGAATACCTTAATATTTTCAATTCCAAACACTAATGCATCACTTACTATGCTGTGAATTTTTGTTCTGGATCAGGGACTAATATCAAAGGCTTCCACTGAGTATTAGTAATACTGTGTGCAGCTGCATATGTGCAGATGGATCACGTTGGCCACTTTTAATGATGACACTGTGTTTCCTGTATTGGGATCACTCACATTGATGTTTTAAATATAATATTTACATTTTTCAGGTCAACATTCTCCATTGATGTGCGAACAGTTGCAACAGAAGGAACCATCTTTTATGTAGCAGATAAGTCAGGGAAATCCTACATGACACTTTATATTTCAAGAGGTCGTTTCTTCTTTTCCTTTACTGTTAATGAGAAGAAACTGAAAATTAAGAGCAAAGTTAAGCACAATGACGGAAAGTGGCATACGGTAAGTAAACATTAGCTATTAGCTGCAAACACAAGGCTGTACAAGGAAAAGGGAGTTCTAACAAATTGTACTGTTGGTCTATCTCTTAGCTGAAACCATTGCCTCACTCCTCACATAGAAACATTGAAAATAGAAGCAGCAGTAGGCCACTTGGCTTTTGAGCCTACTCCACCTGATTAACCAATTTAATAGCCTGTTCCTGCATTTCTCTATATTCTTTGATCCCTTTAGCCCTAAATGCTACATCTAACTCCTTCTTGAAATCCTACAATGTTTTGACCTCAACTGCTTTCTGTGGCAGTGAAATCAACAGGCTCCGCACTCTCTGGTTGAAGAAATTTTTCCTACTCTCGGTCCTAAATGGCCTATCCCATATCCTTAGACTGTATCCCCTGGTTTTGGACTCCTTGGTCATTGGGAGCATCCTTCCTGCATCTTGCCCATCTAATCCTGTTAGACTTTTATAGCTTTCTATGATCCCCCTCATTCTTCTGATCTCCAGTGAATGTACTTCTAACTGATTCAACCTCTCCTCATATGTCAGTTCTGCCATCCCAGGAATCAGGTAAACCTTCACTGCACTCCCTCTCTAGCAAGAACATCCTACGTCAGATAAGGAAACTAAAACTGCACACAATATTCCAGGTATCATTTCACTAAGGCTACGTACATTTCCAGCAAGTCAACCTCACTCCTGTACTTAAATTCTCTCACTATGAAGGCCACCATACTATTCCCCTTCCTGCTACATCTGCATGCTTACCTTCAAGTAACTGGGCACGAGGACACCCAGGTCTCACTGCACATTCCCCTCTCCAGTTTATAGCAATTCTGATAATAATCTGCCTTCTTGCTCCCAAAGTGGATAACATTACATTCATCCATGTTATACTAGATCTACCATGCATTTGCCTACTCACTCTGCTTGTCCAAATCACAAATCTCACTATATTTCTGTATAATTTCCTTCAGGCCTACAACCCTCTCACTAGTTCTGGTCTGTGGCACATTCACAGTTCCTTTTCACCACCGTCAATGACTGTGCCTTCAGCTGTTTCAAACCTGAATGTTGAATTTCCATTTCTATACTGCTCTGAGTCATTGAATCATACAGCACACAAATGGAGCCTTCAGTCCAACCAGTCCATGCCGCCCATAATCCCAAACTAAATAGTCCCACCTGCCTGCATTTGGGCCATAGTCCTCCAAACCTTTCACACTTCAACATCCCTCTTTCTATCTTTATAACACTGCTTAAATCCTACTGTTTTCACAAAACCATTGGTCACCTTAACTCCTTAAGTGGCTCAATATCAGAATTTGTCTAACAACACTCCTGTGAAGAGCCTTGGGACTAAATTAAAGTACCTTATACATGCAAGTTGTTGTCCATATTTTGACCACAGCAACACCACACTGAAGCTGCAATGTTTACACCAAGCTACCAACAGCAGAATATGAATACAGCCAGTATGTAACCTGTAAATTTGATTTTACAATAAACAAATAGGAAATTCTCAAAGAAAGTCAAATTAACAGTGAGCTGAAGAAGGCCATTCGATCCATTCAACAGTCTTTAGAACTGGAGAATCCTAAACTCTCCAAAACTGTAGAGTCAATTTTTTTCTCCTCTTTACCAACATTCCTAATGTTTTTGAGTATTTAATCTCTACTTAAATGTCATTCTTCAGCTGCAACTTAGCTGTTTGTAGTAAAGCAGGTACTTTGCATGGGAGAAAAACCTTAATCCATTATAGTTTTTGTTAAAATTACACATTCCTGAATAAGAAAACTGTCAAAATAAACTATGGAAAGGTTGAGTTGCATTAAGAAATTCATTCCGTAATACAATTCATAAAATCAGTATTGAATAACTTAATTGCACCTTTCTGTTAACTCCTGTACTTATTTCCTCCTAACTTACCATTTTGTGATGAATTTACTTTTAAAGGTGGTGTTTAGCAGAGAAAATAATAAAGGAAAGCTTATTATTGATGGACTTCGGACTCGACATGCCAACGTTAGTGATAGTGCACTTTTGAAAGTTGAATCTCCATTCTATTTGGGTGGATTACCCTCAGACAAAAGGCGACGCAATAGGAAGGTAATGTGAAATTGACAATCCTCACTCTTCATTTCAGATCTTTCTGTGGCCTTGCCCACTCTCCCAATATTTAATGGTCTCCAGCCCACCAAGATCTCTGCAGTTCTTCACTTCTGGCATCTTGTAAATTGCTGATTGTACTTGCTCCACCATAAGCGCCCAATTGCAAAGGGCCCTGGCTCTGGAATTAGTTCCCTGTGCCCTTTTTCCTCTCTCTCTCTTTCCTCCTTTAAGATGCTCCCTAAAACTTCCCGTTTTGACCAGGGCAGCATAGCAGCAGGAAGAGGCCTCAGGCCTGTTCTGTCATTGAGATCACAGCTGATCCATGATCCAGCTCTGTATACTATGTACCATAACCATTGGTTAACAAAAATCTATTAATCTCAGATTTAAAATGAGCAGTTGATCTAGCAGCAGTTTTTTTTGGCAATAATGAGTTTTAAATCTCTACCACCTTTTTTGTGTTGAATATTTCTTCACTTCAACGCTTAAAGATTTGACTTTAATTTTTAGATGATACCTTGTAATACTAACCTCCCCACTCAATAGAAATGCTTTATTTTCCATCTATCCTCTCTGTTCTCCTTCATATCTTTAAAACTTCAATCAAATACCAATTAAGATTTTTTTTAATTTAACCATAGGAGCCCAGATATCATTTTGATGAATTTCTTCCATGCTAACTCCAAGGCCAATATATCCTCCCCAAAATAATACCCAGAACCCAGATGTAGGATAACCAGGGCTTTGTATAACTGAAGCATATTTCTACTCCTTATTTTCAACTACTTTGAAAATAAAGGCCAGTGTTTGTTCATTTGAATATTTTCTATACTTATTTATAATGTTTCATCCACAAGCTTGTTGTCGCGTATTTTGCTCAAGTGGTCATGTATTGACCCATCCAGAGATTAAGTAGTTGTGGTTGTAATTTTAATCAATTAATTGTCTTTTATCTTTCAAACAGCTACATGGTTTTCAGGGATGTCTAAGAAACTTTAAACTGGATGGTAGTGAACTGAATTCCCCATTACGCACATTTGGAGTCACACCATGTTTCGACGGCAAGTTTAAGCAAGGAGCCTATTTCTCAGCCAAAGGAGGATATGTTGTTTTAGGTTTGTCAAATCTTTGTTATTTGTGCCTTCTGTGAAAAGAAAACCTTCTGAAATGATTTTTGCTTCCACATATGAAGGATGAAATCTACTTATTAGGTAGTACTCTCTCTTCTGAATTAATTTATGAGTTAGGTCCTCCTTAAGGAACTTGAGCCCAAAACCCAGCCTATCACTCCAGTGCAGATGGAGAACACTGCACTGTGGGAGGGTTAGTGCTGAGGCAGTGCTGCACTGTCAGAGCGTCAGTGCTGAGGGAGCATGCTGAGGGAGCGCTACACTGTCGGAGGGTCAGTGCTGAGGGAGCGCTACACTGTCGGAGGGTCAGTGCTGAGGGAATGCTGCACTGTCAGAGGGTCAGTGGTGAGGGAGCGCCGCAATATTGGACGGTCAGTGCTGACGGAGTGCCGCTCTGTCAGATGGTCAGTGCTGAGGGAGTGCCACACTGTGGGTGTGTCAGTACTGAGGGAGCATTGCACTGTTGGAGGCTCAGGGAGGGACTGCCACACTGTCAGGGGGTTAGTGCTGAGGGAATGCCACTCTGTTGGAGGGTCAGGACTAAGGGAATGCTGCACTATTATGAACATAGGAACTTAGGAGCAGAAGTAGGCCATTCAGTGCCATAAGCCTGATCTGCTGTCATTCTATACCATCACTGATCATCTATCCCAGGTTATATTCCCATGCAATCAGCATATCCCTTGATGTGATTGGTATCAAGAAGTCAATCATCTCGGTCTTGAACCTACTTAATTACTGAGGTTCCATAAACCTCTGGGATAGAGAATTTCAAAAATTCACTATCTTATGAGTGAAAAAAATTACTCATTTTGATCCTAAATGTTTTGCTCCTTATTCAATTCAGGAGTAGATCATTCCAACGGTACAGATCCCACTTTTCCAGCATTGATGTCATTGACACACAAACTGGAACCTACTTCTCCCACACCAATTTTTGAACCATGCATTCATTTTTCTTTCATTTTTGCCTTATGCCAATTTGCATGTAGTTCAGATAGTAATCCAGAGATTATTACCTTTGATGTTCTGCTTTTAATTTATAACCTGGCGTCTCATACTCCCTTAGCAGAATCCCCTTACTAGCTTAACCTATGTTATTGGTACAACATGGACTACAACCAATGGATGTTCCCCCTTCCACTGCAAGTTCCTTTCTAAACATGAGCAGATATTCCAAATCCTGGCACTATCATGCAGCCATTTGGACTCTTGCTCTTTGGTGCAGAGAACAGTTTCAATTTCGCCTTATTATAGTGCCTGTTACTACCACAACGTTCCTTTTCCTTCCCTCCCACTTGAATGGCTTCCTGTGCCATTTGTTAATTAACTCATCCACACCACAGCCCTCAATCTCATCTATGACAAGCCAGACCTTGTTGGAAAATTGTAAGAGCTGAGAGTCCTGTGCTCTTGACCCCAGGCTTCCCCTACTTGCCTAACTTGCAGTCACACTCTCCTGTCCCTGACCCTCCACTGGCTAAACGAGAAGATCTTATCCCGAGAGCTGTGAATGCCTGGTATAAATTGGGAAGGTAGTATTCCCCTTCCCTGATGTGCCATAACATCTGCAGCTCAGCCTCCAACTCACAATCTCTGAACTGAAGTCCCTGCAGCTGCAGACATTCCCTACAGATCTTTTGGCCTGGATTGTGCTGGCATCCAGAAAGATCCCAAATCCTACAGTTACAGCACATCACTTGCGCTGCCATTTTTATTCTGTTAAGTAATTAATAATCTTAATTAATTTGTAAGTTATAATGTCTACATTTTGCAGTCACTTTCACACTGGCTGTAAACTTTACCAAAATTAATCAATTCTAATAGGGTTGTTAAGAAGTTTTAAAAAAAAGGTTTTTCAATATCCGTTGCACAGTCCCTAGCAACAGTTACTCACCAACCAATCAACCTGTAATCACCTTTACACCAATGCATCAGATCATTATAGAATTGCAGTTTATAAGATTTGTTGTGACAAATTGACTATATTTTCTCTATTACAACAGTGTTAACAATGTAAAATGCTTTGGGACATTCTGACATGATGAAAAGTGCTGTAGAAGTGAAAATCTTTTTTTTTCTTTCTCTCTCTGCTCTTTTGCACTGAAACTGCAGGTTAATCTGGTAAGGAATCACAAGTTGTAGTGCTAGCACTAGCACTAGCACAACCTGATAAACGTCAAAATCAATATCCCTCATTACTGACACCTGAATGCTTTTTTTCAGAGAACTCATTTATGGTGGGCAAGGACTTTGAGCTCCTCTTTGCAGTGCGTCCTCAAAGCCAGACTGGAATCCTCTTTCACATCAACAGCTCCCAAGGAAATTATCTCAGTCTATATATGCACAAGGGAAAGGTAGGAATAATCGTTATAAGTCAGCTACATACCATGAAACTTTATTTACCTTCTGTGTTTTGTATTAAATGGATTGTTACAACCTATAGTCTTGATGAAAGTATTGTCTCAGGTACAACAATGTTTATCAGTCTCAAAAGCAGTCTGAAGTCAGGTATGTCCAAATGTAATAGCATATAACTCTTGCTACCACAGCTAAAGTCCATGGAATGAAAGGGTATTGGCAGCCTGGGGCTGAGTGACAAGGAGCAGGAAGTATGGGTGAATGGTTGTTTTTCAGGCTGGAAAAAGGTATGTAGTTGGCTTCCTCAGGGAACTGTTTTTCTTCACCTATGCTAATGATATAGACTTTAATGTACAAGTTGCAATTTCAAAATTCACGGATTGATATAAAGGTTGGAGGGACTGTAAATGTTTGGACAATAATGGTAGGTACGAAGAAGACATAGACAGGCTGGTGTAATTGGTCAACACATGCAGATAAAATTGAATGAAGAGAACTCTGAAGTGATGTATTTTGACAGGCAGAATGTCAAGAAACAATATTAAACGAGTAGTTTAATTTTGCAGGCTCAGGGGGACCATGATGTCTATGTGCACAAGTCATTTGACTATGGCAGGACAGGTTGAGAAAATCGTTTATAAGGCATACAGGATTCTGATCTTTAAAAAATAAGCAGAGTACAAAAGCTTCTTCTTCTTTGGCAGTCCCTCAGTGTTGAATATGACTTGCTTTCATGAGGAGGTGGGAGAGTTCTCCAGTAGTTAAATAGTCCAATCTTGCAGCCACAGACTCAGTCTCATGTGGGGTAGGTGGGATTCTCTGGATTCTGAACCTGCTTTCCAATGCTTGCACTGGCCTCCCTGTGCTCCATTTGGTGATGCTAAAAGTGGTTGATGCCTTCATTGATGCTTCTTCAATTTGTGCATGTGGTGATTGTAACGAGGTTAGCTGGGTGGTCCTCATACAATCTGAGTTCCCTGACTGGGGCTGTTAATCTGGTCCAATCAGGGAGCCCTGGCTGACAGACACAGGAGTGTCAGAGATTCTGTTCACTCTGAGAGCTGGCTCTGGGGAAGCTGCACTGATGTCAAGTACTGTGCATGAGTAAATAAAGGGTGACTTGGTGACAGGATACTGGCCTCTGTGGAGTTATTTCAGTGCACTCCAGGGCAAGCAATTCAGATCTGTCAATGGGGATGACGCATTTGTTTAGGGAGATTTTCAGGGTGCTCTTGTTGCATTTCCTTTGCCCTCCTTGCCTCCTAGTGATTCCTTACCATTGCAGATCTCTAAGTAGAGCACATATTTGAAGAGTCATTTTAGGTATGCAGACAATGCGGCCTACCCGTCGCAGCTAGTTGTGTGTGATCCATGCCTTGGTACTGGAGATATTGGCCTAGGAGAGGACATTCGTGTTCCTGCCAGTGGGTTTGTAGGATTTTGTGAAAGCAGTGCTTGTGATAACTCTCAGGGATTTGAGGTGTCTGCTGTACATGGTCCATGTTTCTGATGTGTACAGGAGGGTGGGGATTGGGGTTTCTCTATAGACCATGAGCTCAGTGCTAGGTTTGAGGTCTCAGACTTCAAATGCTCTGTTCCTTAAGTGTCTAAAGGCTGCACTGGCACAAAGAAAAACAAGGAAGTTTTGACAAACTTGTATAAAAGAATAATGACTAAAGTAGGGAAGTGTACAAGGTATTAATGAGACCGCATTAATACAGTGTGGAGCTGGAGGAACACAGCAGGTCAGGCAGCATCAGAGGAGCAGGAAAGTCAATGTTTCGGGTCTGGACCCTTCATCAGGACTCATGAGTGATGGAACATTGTGATAAATTTTGAACCCCTTACTTGAGGAAGGGTGTAGTTATGTTGGAGGCAGTTCAGAGGAGATTCACTAGATTGATTCCAGAGATGAAGGGTTTGTCTTATGAAGAGAAATTGAACAGTTTTTCACCTTGGCTTCATGAAAGGGAATTTGTGTTTGACTAATTTATTGCAGATTTTTGAGGAAGTCTCAACCTGAGTGCACAGAGGGTGTGTGTTGTATTTCCATAAGGTGTTCAACAAGGTATATCACAAAAGGTTCAGTCATAAGATAATATCCCATGGTGTTGGAGACAGTATATTGGCATTGATAGAGAATTGGCTAATGGGCAGGAAACAGCAAGTGGGGATAAGGGGGTTATTTTTCAGGTTGGTGACCCATGACCAGTGGAATTCACAAATACTATTGCTGGGACCTTAATTGTTTACAATATATATTAGTAACTTGGAGGAAGGAAGTGACTGTACTGTCGCCAAATTTGCAGATAACATTAAATAGGCGGACAGACAGGTTGTAAGAGGGATACAGACAGTCTACAGAGAAATATTGATAGGCTAGGTCAGTGGTCAAGAAGTTGGAAAATGGAGTATAATGTAGGAAAATGTGAAGATGTTCATTTTGGAAGGGAGAACAAAAGAACAGAGCATTAAATGGAGAAAAACTGCAACACAAAGGCACTTGAAGGTACTTGTACATGAAACACAGAAAGCTGCACAAAAGTGCAGTAGGTAATCAGGAAAGCTAATTGAATGTTGGCCCTTATTTCAAGGTGGATGGAGTTTAGGAGCAGGGCAGTCTTACTGCAACTGTACAAGGTGCTGGTGAGACCACATATGGAGTACTGTGAGCTGTTTTGATTCCTTTATTTAAGGAAAGATATTATATCTTTGGAGGCAGTTCAGTGAAGGTTCACTCAGTATGGAGGGATTGTCTTATGAACAAAGGTTAAACAGGAGTCTATGACTGGAATTTAGAAGAGTGACAGGTGATTTCATTGAAACATACAGGATTCTTAAGGACTTGACAGGGTAAATGCTGAGAGGGTGTTTTCCCTCATGGGAGAGTCTAGGACCAGAAGGCATAGTTTCAGAATAAATTTAAGACTGAGCTGAGGAGGAATTTCTTCTCTGAGGCTTTGGAGCTCCTTGCCACAGAGAACTATGGGGGCAGAGTCCTTGAATATTTTTAAGGCTGGGTAGATAGATTCTTGATCAGTTGGGGAAATCAAGGGTTAAGGGCAAAGGGCAGTAAAGTGGATGTGAGGAATGTTGGATCAGTCATGATCCTATTGAATGGCAGAGCAGACTGGAGGGCTGAATGGCCTACTCCTGCTCCTATTTCTTATGGTCGTCTTCTGGTCTAAGTTTGGGTTATACTCTTTAGAGTTTAGAACAGAGAGAAAGGAGATCTAATTGAGTTATATAAGATACTAAAGGGAATCGATAAAGTAGATGTAGAGAGAATGTTCCCTCATGAGGGGCGATCTAAAATGACAGGTCATAGTTGTAGAATAATGGATGGCAGATTTAAAGCAGAGGAGAAATTACTTTTCTTAAAGGGTAGTGAATCTATGGAATTCACTCCCCCAGACAGTGATGGATGCCAGGATGTTGAGTAAATTTAAGAGGGAGATGGATTTTGAATTAGTAACAGGTTGAGGGGTCATGGAGAGCAGGCAGGTAAGTGGAGTTGAGGCTGACGTGAGGTTGGCTCTCGGGGCTGAATTGACTGCTCCAGATCCTAGTTCTTACCTTTTTAAAGCACTGGTTTTATTTCAATTGAAACATTGGAAAGGAACTTTTGATGTCACTGTGGATTGTTTAATGGCCAGTGTCCTCGGAGGGATTTAACTTAAACAGGCAGGAGGATGGCAAGATGGGAACCACCATATTCCTGCCTCCACCTGATTTAAGTCTGTGGTGGGAAGGGTCAAGCCCTCACTACCCCAATCCTAATTGAGATCCTTAAGTGGGCAATTAATGCCTGCCAAACTGCCTCAACATGCTGTCATTGATATATAAGTTTATGGGGAGGGAATTGTATCCTCCACTGGAGTCACCGGACCTGAAATGTTAACTCTGATTTCTCTCCACATATGCTGCCAGAGCTGCTGAGTTTTTCCAGCAATATCTGATTTTGTTTCTGATTTCCAGCATCCGCAGTTCTTTCCAGTTTTTTGTTAAGATATGAAGCAACCTGTTTTAAACAATCCAACTGGTTTTCATGCTTCTCTGGTACTTTAAATCAAAAGGCTCAGAACTACATGGAGACTTGCTCCATTGTAATGACACATTTCCAATGGATGGCCCTATTATACACCATTAGAGGATAAGATTGTGAGGCAAGTGATGGACACCATACTGTAATTTCCCAGGGACCTTTGCACTGCTGAGTTAATGGTCTCTCCCAAACAGTGACAGTAACAGAGTAAATATTGACACTGCTAGTCAGCCAATTAGTTAGTGTTGAGGTTGGTTGGCTCGCCGAGCTGGTTTCTTGTATAGCAGACGTTTCGTTACCATGCTGGGTAACATCCTCAGTGCACTCCTGTAACACTCAGTAACATCCTCTCAATCCACATGGAAAAGGAGGACCATCATTTCAACTGGGACAACACCAAAATCCTGGGACAAGCTAGGGAGAGGCAGGCACGAGAATTCCTAGAAGCCTGGCACTCCACGAAGCATGCTATTAATAAACACATTGACCTCGACCCCATATACATTCCACTACGAAGGAAAACCGTAAGTGAGGCAATCCAGCTCAACGGACTCCAGAGGTTAAAAACCAGGTGGGAAAACACACCGACGCTTCATCAGAGGCTGCACTGAGGATGTTACCCAGCATGGTAACGAAACGTTTGCGATACAAGAAACCAGCTCGGCGAGCCAACCAAACTCAACACCCACAACCCGAGCTACAAATCTACTCCAAAACAATTAGTTGGTATCAGTGGAATGAGACTTATACTTTTGATTTACCTGTACCTTGCAGCAAACAGAGTCTATTTAAACACAAACTAATTACAGCAGTATTTCTTTAGTACAACAAGGTTATTTCCCCAGCAAAATGCATTGAGTACAGTTACAGAGTAGAAATGGTATTCAACATCACTCCCAGTCACTCACAGCTTTGTGATCTCCAGGTGTGATTAGACCATAAGATGTAGGAGCAAATTAGACCGTTCAGGCCATCTAGTCTGATCCACAATTCAATGACATCATGGCTGATCTAATAATTCCCAACTCCACTTTTCTACCTTTTCCATATGGCCCTTGATTCTCTTACTGATTAAAAAGCTCTCTCAGCCTTGAATATAATTAACAACCCAGCCTCAACAGCTCTCTGCAATAAAGAATTTCACAAATTCACCACCTTCTGAGAGAAGAAATTCTTCCTTATCTCTTATTCTGAGATTCTGCCTTCTGGTCCTAGACTTCCCCACAAGGGGGAGCAATGGTTTCCACATCTACTCTGCCAAGTCCTCCAAGAAACTTGAATGTTACAATAAGGTCACCTCTCATTCTTCTAATTCCAATGAGTACAGGCTCAATCTGCTCAACCTGTCCTTATAAGACAGTCCCTCTGTACCTGGTATCAGCCTAGTGAACCTTTCCTAGACTGCCTCCAATGCCAGGATATCTTTCTTTAGGTAAAGGGGTCCAAAGCTGTTCATAGAATTCCAGCTGTGGTTTGACTAGTGCCTTGTACAGTTTTAGTAAAACCTCCCTACTTTTATACTCCATTCCCTTTGAAGTAAAGATCAACACTTCATTTGCCTTCCCTATTACCCATTGAACTTAAATGCTAGCTTTTAGTGATTTATGATCAAGGACTCCCAAATCCCTCTGTTCTGTAGCTTTTCTTGATTAAAATAATGTTCATCTCCTCTATTCTTCCTGCTAAATTGTACGACCTCATATTTTCCCATATGATCTTTCAAGCTCCAAGTTTTTACCCACTTGCTTAACCTGTCTATATCCCTCTGCAGACAGTTTGTTTCATCCTCACCACTTACCTTCCCACGTTTTTTGTGTCATCCGTAAACTTGGCTAAAGTACATTCTCTTTCTTCTCCAAGTCATTAATACATATTGTAAATAATTATGGACTCTGCATTAATCACTGTGGCACTCTCCTAGTTACAGGCTGTCATCCTAAAAATGCACTCCTTATCCCAACTCTGTCTTCTATCAGAGATAGTAGGAACTGCAGATGCTGGAAAATCCGAGACAACAAGGTGCAGAGCTGGATGAACACAGCAGGCTAAGCAGCATCATT